GGGATGTGCGAGCTGTGCGCGCGTACGTCTCTCGCTGCCTACACGAACATACACTATCTTTTAGATCATATATAAACTATTGTGACGATGTATCCTAAAAATTGGTATCACCACTGCCATGGTGCGTGGTGCGCTGTAATACTGTGTGCACCGGGGTCAAAGTACATTCAGTACACGCAGCGAAACTTACTAGCGAAGTTAAATTAAAAAAAATAAAATAAAAAGAAGGGAGAAAGAATAAAAAGAAGCGAAAGAAAGAAACTAGCGCTATACTAGGGCCGGAGATTGATCGCGCGAAGAGGAAATTGCGTTTTAAGCGACGAGCGCAGCGCGCGGCTCCTGCTGCCGCTACTGCACCTCTGGTAGTGGTGTTACATCTATCGATTTTCACCCTCTCTCTCTCTCTCTCTCACTTTTGCACGAATTCATCCGCACACGATTCGACTACTACCGCCTGCCTGCACACGAATGCACGCGCAAAGAGAGAAGAGTGCACTATGCCGCGCACGCGATTCAGCAGCAGCAGAAGTCAATGTAATAATAGTTAATCGACGCTAATTATTATACGGCGCGCAAAGCAAAAGCGGGTATATAGCGGTGGTAGCCGCAGAGAACTCGAACTCGCTCGACGCGATTCCTAGCCATAAATGGGAAAATATTACAATCCGCGCGCCTAATATAGATCCGCGTAATACGTGGCCGATAAATCGTGCGTTGGAGCGCAAGGATTTTTGTCCTTTTTATACTCTCGCGAGACGAGTGGGCGCGAGCTTCGACGTAAAATTGGCGCGTCGCACGCGGCAGCAATTCGATAACGTATGGAGATCGACGAGCTAGCGTTATTATACATCCAAAGCCAATCTGCTGCGCTGCTTGCGCGCGCGAGCGAGCTTTATAATAGTTGACCGCGGTCGTTATTACGTTATAATATAGTTACGTTACGCAGCCAACGTCGTCCTGCATTGTAACGACGAAAAAATTAGTTAGCGGATGGATGACGTAGCGGCTTTCGACGTTGTTAAAGGAAGAAAAAAAGAAGGAAATTGTATATGTACAACGCGAAATTTCATTTTTTTTGTTCGTCCTGTATCGTAATTATTATATTGTGTATAGAATCTCTGCGACACGGGACCGGCGCGCGCTAATTGCTCGTGGCGTTTAACGAGCCTCGACGCGATATTATATTATAAACACACACACACACACACACACATATATAAATATAGAACGAAACGCGTCGAACATACATATATAGCCACTGCGGCAATAATCGACGCGTTTAATAGCTGCTCGCGCGTATATTATACGGAGTGTGTGTGTGTGTGTGTGTTTTTTTTTTTCATTTTTATGTATGTATACGTATACACGTTCTGACCCGCGCCACTACTACTACCGCTCGGCAGACCTACTTTCCATCCATCCGTCCGCAGAGAGAGAGAGAGAGAGTTTGTAAGGTGTCGCGCCAGGCACTGCTGCTGCTGCTGCGTGGGTGACTCAGCCCCCCAAGACCCTACATTATATACCTTACCTACCTATACCGCCTCTTCTTGCACGGCATATATATATCGTACGTATACACACATATTTTTTTAAACCGTATATATACATATAGTGGGTGCGCTGCCGCTGCTCCGGCCTTTCGAGCGTATTATATATACAGCGTTTATGTATACGCGGCGATTCATCTTGGAGAGTACGTGCGCGCGGCTCGGTAATATAGGTGCGCCGATATAAGGATGACGCGTACAATGTGGATATCTCGCTAATCTCTCATCCTATGTAAAGGCTTGTCTCTCTCTCTCTCTCTCGCGATCGCTTCGTCGAATCATCGTCGCTTTCAATATGCATATAGTAGGTAGGTATACACATCGATAAACATGAAAACGATATATATTCTTTACTTATATGTATTATAATACGTGCGGCCGAAGCACTCGGGGGATCGAAGCCTTTATATACACGAGCACTTATATTATTACGAGTATTATTATTATATTATAAAACGTGTGTATGAGTGTATAGGTAAACGTATAGAATGCTTGCAGCCACGAGTACGCGGACACTCTCGCTTATCCGATAAAACGCGCGCCTGCCTCGGCTAGTAGCTAGCGAGCGAGCGAGCGCATACCGTGTGTGTGTGTGTGTGTGTGCCAAGTTTTTTGACCCTGCAGCTATTGGAAATCGATTTGGAAGTTATACCGCGACGACGACGACTACGAGCATCGGGCTGTGTTATTTACTAGCTTCTGCTGCTACCGCTGCTTTTCTCTCCCTTCGCGAGAGTCCACTCTATTACCCCTCTATATATACGTACACGTCGTAGGGAGAGGAGGAAAAAACGTTGCCAATAATAATAAAACGAAGTTTTCTGTGCGCGCGCGAGAGAGAACTCCAAAGCTCAAGAGTCGTCCGCGCGCGAGGTGTTTATCCGCGCAACTTGGCTCGTGCCGCTGCCGCTGAGCGCAAAAAAAAGTGACGCTCTCGCAACAGAGTGAGTTAGCTAAGCTAGCCACAGCTAATAGTTTAAGTGATCCGCAAGCTGGTAGAAAGAAAATGAAGGGAAAAAAAGTAGCAGCAGCAGGAAACAAAGAGCAATTAAAGCTCGCTCGCGCGCACGTGAGCTTGCAGTGATTCCGAAAACATAATATACAGAGGCGAGTGAGAGCTTGCGACAAAGGTAGAGCGAGCTTTTTTCCGTCATATTTTTCGGCTTTGACGGCTCGATCCCGCTCTCTCTCAGTGTATACGAAACGGTTGAAAATACGATGCCGTATGCGGGCCGCCGGCGCATATACGCTATATTATTTTAGTAAATAAAACGCGAGCTATGTATAGGTATTTTCATACATAAAGAGGCTGCTTAAGCGGCTCGCTATAAGATTCCACGACGAAAGCTAGCATATACATATATTATATATACCTCCTAATACCGCGTACGTCTAGGCATGAGCGGCGGATTAGCGCGCGCGGAGCAGCGGCGCGTCTTTCGGAAGAGAGAGAGATGAACGGGAAACGCGAGGGGGAGGCGGCGACGAGCGAGTTCTATATAGCTATAAGACGTATATACGAGTGAGAGCTGCTGCGTAAGTATTCGTATATTATAGCGAAGAATGAAAGAGTGTGTATATGACGCTGCGTCGAGCTCGCTGGACTTGGACCATTAATACAACTCGTTCATATACGCGCGCGAGCGAGCGAGCGTATATACGTGTGTATTTATATAAACGTATAAGCGGAGAGTCGCGGAGTTGAAAAAGTCACGCTCTCGAGAGACGACGGCAGATCTCCGTCTTACATATATAGTATTATTATACGCACGAGGCGTATATAAAAGCGTTTCCTTACGTACGGTATATACACTGGAGTATCTGCAACGAAAATATCGCTACAACTACGCGCGCACCAGTTTTGCTTTTCTTGCCCTTTTTTTCTGTATTATTTACACTCGCTTGTGCTTGCTCTCTCTCTCTCTCTGCTTCTTATTATTTCTATTTTCTTTTACATCTCGGATGCGGGAGGAGGTTGTTATTATTTGTGTTTTGATATTATGCAGCAGCAGCAGGTTGACAATAAAAAGGGCCTCGCTGCGCTATATAATGCACCCTGCGCAGCTTGCGACGCTTGCGAAGCTTGCGAAGGAGCGTAGTACAAGAGGACGCGGTACTCGAAAAAGTGAGCGACGTACGTACGAGAAAAAGGAGAAAAAAAACTCGCATCATCGTCAGCGAAGTTACACGATGTTATATATCGCGCGCGCGTGTGTGTACTGCTGCACGCGCGTGAAAGCTTCTCTCTCTCTCGCTTCGAGAGTCGGAGTGTTGAGAGTAGTATAGCAGTGGTATACAGCTCTCGGGTTTGCTGCTGCATGCACGACGACGACGACGACGACGACCGAGAAACGAGCCGAGAAAATTGGAGCACCGTTATATAGCGAGAGGCACACGAGAGCAGAGAAACAGCAGCAGCAGCGGCAGCGGCAGAGACGAGAGAAAGAGAAAAGAAACGAGAAAGAGAGAGAGAGAGAGAGAGAGAGAGAAAGATGCGAGGAAAGACGTTTTAAATATATATATATATATAGGTAGACAAGACTATACAATACACAAACGCTTATAATATACGCGCTCGGCTGTTTTTCTCATGAATAACGATATTGGATTTTACACGGGCGCGCGCAACGTTAGAAAATAATAATATATAGACTCTCTTTCTCTCGAGTGAGTCGCACACAGCCAGGCAGTCAGGCAAGCACAGCGGCGCAAAAGAAAATTTACACAATGTACAGAGTCGCGGACGACGAAGAGAGTAGTTTTATATATACACATAGGTACAACGACTCGTTAACTCCGAAGCGCAGCTAAGGCAAGGATGTGTATAGGTATAGGTATATAGCAGCAACAGCAGCAGCAGACAGGTAGGCTGGCAGCTATACACAACTATACCGTATACGCGAAAAATGTGTGAGTGAATAATACACACACACACACGTATAAGGTGAGAGTCGGAGTGGAGTTTAGCGTTGTCGTAGCGCACTCAGGCAGGCTGAGGCAGGCAGGCAGGCGGTATAGGTAGGTAGGTAGGTAGGTAGGTAGGTAGGTAGCGAACTGCTGCACACAACGCGGCAGCGGCAACGGGGAGGGAGGGCGAAGAGGGAGGCAGGCAGGCAGGCTGCTACACACAGGCAAGCAGAGAGTAGTAGAGTAGAGTCGGAGGAAGAAAAATCGATCGCACCAGACGGACAGCAGCGAGAGCCAATATATATACTGTAACTTCCACTGCCTGCCTACTCTTATACACAAGAGCTATATTATATACGTGTATATATTAAATGTTCGTGCGGTCGGTATACTACGACGACGATAATAATAAACGTCGCGTACGTATATGAATATATTCGCGGAAGAGACCCTTCCAACCCAAAGGTACACACACACACTTACTTGCACACTTGTTTGGGGGTTACGTTTTTTATATATACACACTGTTTACTATAATATACGTACCAGCTTGAGCGGAGTCGGCGTTGGCGAGGCCGAGGACGAGCAAGGAGCAGATCACGGCCATGAGACGACGGCCAGCCGCTGTCGAGGAACGCGACATGATGACGACGATGATATTTATTATTCGGCGTCGCCCGAAGTAGTCCTACGCACTCTTTTACGATATAATATTTGCACTATATAGCGAGCTGAACACAAGCTTTTTACGCGTTCACCTCTCGCTCGCTTCTTCTCTTCGTCGCATGCGCGGCGCAAAATACCTTTTCAGTATTTTATTATTTTTATATATATATGGAAGTTTAGAACAGGTACGAGAGAGAGCGCGTATACAGTTGGCACGGCTCTTTCTTTTTAGCACTTGTTTAATGACGCGGGTGAGTAAAGGGTCTCACACGCACACGAGCACACACTTGGCGTATAGAAATTTCGGTGCACCCTTTCAGCGGTTGCGGCGACGGCGGTGGCGGGGGGGCACACACTTACACACGCATATACGCACGCACGCACGCACGCACACACACACTTTTTGCACACAGACACACGGAGTGCACAGTGCACAGCAGCCAGCCAGCACCGACTTATTCACTTATGATGTATGCAGTGCTCACTCCGCACCAACACACCAACACACACAGCACAACACCGACACACTTATTATTATTGCGCGTGCACAGTCCAACTGCGGGTCCAATCGTATTATAGGAATTCGCCAGTTCCGAATTCGCACAAACGCTTCTTCTCTCTCTCTCTTTGCACTGTCTCTCTCGAGAGAGATCCGCGTATCTCTCTCACTTTACTACGCGAAACGCGATCGCGAGCGCACAGGTATGCGTCGGTCGTTCGTTCGTTCGTTCGTTTTTGTGCGTGTGCACCTTTACGTATATATCGATGCACGAGCTTTGAGTGAGTATCTATACATATATATAATATCGTATATATATATATATCGCTGCGCGCACAGTAGTGGGCTGCTGCACAGCCTGAGGTGTACGTAAAGACGACGCGTCTACTGCGCGACGGCTCGGCTGTTATACTGCTGCTCTGGCCTCTCGCTTCGCGACTCCGTAATTCCAACTCCTCGCGCTGCTGCTGCTGCTCCTCTCCCTCCTCCCGCCGCGCACCTCTGTCTCCGCGTATACTCCCCCTTGTGCCCCCGCACACCGTCCCGAGCGAACGCCACAATCCGTTCGTTCGTTCGTGTGTATAGTATATATACACGAGTCCACTTGGCTCTTACCTATATAGTGTACATTTTGTGCGCTCAGCGTAATACAGGCTTCGAGCTGTACCATATACGCAACGTTAGTAATCTCGCTCACAAAGAGCATGGAATACAGCGAGCAAAGGTCCGCTATATGCTAAAAGCCCCAACGAGTGTAGGTGTGCGTTGTCTCGCATGCGCACCGCCACCAGTACAACGCGCGCCGACTCCGAAATAGTCAGCTATATATATACTGCTACACAAAGACACATCTCTCGCTCGCGTGTGTAAGTATTATATGCGGCGGCAGCAGCGCATGGCTGTGGAAAGAGAGAGAGAAAAGAGAGTCGACGCCGTCGCGCGAATCTGGCTTAGGCGTGTTATTTCATAGGACTCGCAGCGCCTCCACGCGCGGATCCCACGCGTTATCCAACTTTATTATACATATATATAGGTGTGTGATATCTCGCGACTGCGAATTCGTAAAGCAGCTTCCGAGCTTGCCGATCGAGTAGAGTCGCGCGCATGCAGAGTGTAAATCGATGTTAATTTTGTTTGTATTTTTGTTTTATACTTGTAAATTTTTACAAAATTATATTCGGACAGTATCGTTCGTCGCTCGATACCGTCGATGAGATTGTAGTATTGGTCTGTTGCAGCTGCTGTTTTGTAAATTATTCACTGCACTCGGTGAGAGCTGTGTCAATAATAATTTTTCTATCTATTCATGGTTGTCACGGCGATTGATCGGACACCGAGGTGCGATCGGTATAACGCATCAGCTGCTCCGCATCGTTGTTTTTCAATCTTCTTCTTCTTCTTTTCGATATTAGAACTTTCGTTCTCAAACAGAAGCCCGATACGCCTACATCATCGTTACAATTTCTTTTTCTTCTAATCACGAGAGAGTAACGATGTACGATTATCCAAGTTCTGCATAACATACGACATGATTCGCTTCGACTCTCTCCCTCTCTTACCGCTCGAGATCCCGCCGACCAAGACGCGCTTATGGGAATTGAATGGAAAAGTTCTATCTATTAACGATTGTCTCGCGTGACTCCATTATACAAATCTCCCGGTTTAATTAGCACTTCGAGGAAGTAGCCGCGCGCCGAAATCACGGCTCCGTAGTTACGCTCAATTAGAAATAATCTCGTACTGTTTCTGGTCGCGCGTACCTCGTTCAAAAATATATATACTTATAGCTGTGAATTTTTGAAACGTATAACGAGGATCGTCGTGCACCTGCACACAGCATACGGTGTAGCAGCTGAATCGCTGCGCGGTCTCTCGAGCTAATAAACGTACAGATGCCAGAATAATTTTGATTGACGTATAAGACTCGTGCTCCGGGTTGCGTGGGCCGGCAATGTGTGTACACAAAATTTGTCAGGCCTGCTATCGTCGTGACTGTGCAAGTTCACACTTTACCTTTCGTGCGCGAGGCTCGTTCGGTCGTCACTTTGTTCTTAAAAGGTCTATACCTATAAATAATTCGTTTTGAAAATCGTGCTTAGACTTATACAATTATATGGACTCTACCACTTGCAGATTCCCAGACACAGGGTACACGCCATCTCGCGGTGGAGTCTGACTTTAATGATAACGTCGTCGTCACAGAGTCTCTTGGAGAAATATTCAGTGGAAGATTCAGAAAACGTGATTAAAGTGTTGATTTTCATACCAGTGGCCCGAAACTGACTACTTTTCTGCAACTCTGCAAAGCGAGAAGAGCCATTTTCGGGTCATTGGGTATATCAAATAGTATATTACACAAAAAGGGAGTAAATGTAAAAAATGTCAATTGCCTGGATTACTTATGGTTGTATGTTGATAAATTAAAACACTACACGAGCTAAATGCATTATATTTATTCATTTATTTTTTTACTTAAATTAATATATTTTCATTACACGAAAAATATGTAACATTTAACAACAACAGGAATATACAAATACATTCCAATTATATGCTTACGCCCATCACGAGCTTCGCTCGGTAGCCGCCACGAAAATGCGGTACAAGTCTTCGTTCGTCAGATGATCGATTATCATTTCGCAGCACTCGAGCGGCAGTCGCTTGTGAATCAGCTCCCAGAAAAGATACAGCGTCCAGTGCAGGAAAAGCCCTCGGCATAATTTCTCGCACAGGTGGGCGAAACAAGACTTTCGAAGCCCGACGGGCAATTGCCACAATCGAGTCCCGTGCGCGAACTCGAAGTATTCCTCGATGGTGATTCGTTTCGCCACCTCTCTGGGTCGCGAATGGAGCAGGTCGTGGACGGACAGACTCGGACTTATCATCGTCTCTTTCGCAAAGCTCGTGACCTCCTCGTGGTCCTGCCAATTGGGCTCCTCGAGATCCGCCGACTCGACGAACAATTCGTGCTTGGCGAACAGTTTCATGATCGTCAGGGCGTCCGATTGGCTCAGCTCGTATCCTCTGGTCTCGAGGCGCTCGACGACGGCCAAAATGCCGGACGTTATTTTTATGCTTATGCCATTGTTCAATTTAACACCCGCTTCGAAGTTACTTTCGGATGGGAAAACGAAGTTGGACAAATCGGCGCCGTGATCCAGCAGTACATCGACGGTATTGGGCAATAATCTCGCTACCGCGTACTGCAGCGGGGTCCGACTGTACTTGTCCCTCGCATCGATCGGCACCGTTTCGCGTCTATCTTCTTTCATGATCTTTAAGAATATCCCCATTAAGCCGTCGTCGTAGTAACTCTTACAGATGAAGTGCAGCGGCGTCGATCCATCGTCGCCCTGGACCAGATTCGGGTCGGCGCCGCGTCTCATCAGCAGCTCGGTCATCCTGTTGTGGCCTCGTTTCAGAGCCCAGTACAGCGGTGTCCGGCCATCATTATCCTTCGCGTCGACCCGCAACCGCCGATTCAATTCGTCGTTGACTCGGAAGAATACCTCTATCAAATCGTTGTCGTGGGTAGTCCGGCAAATATCGTGCAAAACCGTACTTCCGAAATCGTCAGTCAAATGTGGATCCGCGCCTCGCCTCAGCAGAAATTCGACCGCTGACGTTTTATGGCAATGCAGAGCCTCGTGCAACGGTGTCCTACCCTGCAATTTGTCCTTGGCGTTGATCTGTATCGGCGAACGATGACGTTTGCCGTCATCGATGCCCATCTCGAATAGCATCCTCAGCGATTCATCGTTGTTGCATGACTGGCCTGCAACGATATGCAAAAGAGTTTGTCCGTCCTCGTTGACCAAAGTTACATCGGCACCTCTTCTCAGCAGCAATCGTGCCATAACAAGGTCGTCGTATTTCATAGCAAAGTGCAATGGCGTGTTACCCTCGTTGTCCTGTGCATCGACGCGCACGAGTCGATGTTTTTTGTCGCTGATCTCGAATAACATCTTCGCCAAGTCATTGTATCCTTCCTGACAAATGATATGCAGAGCTGTCGATCCCTCTTTGTCGGCCAAGTTCGGATTGGCGCCCCTTCTCAGCAACCATTTGGCGGCATTCGTACCTCCTGTCTTCAGAGCCCAATGCAGCGCCGTCTTACCCTCCTTGTCCCGGGCGTCGATCAACTCCGATCGACGTTTTTCGTCGCTGATCTCGAACAGCGCCTTCATCAAGGCATTAGGATTATCCATCTTGCATATGAGGTGCAAAGCAGTCGATCCCTCGGGATTGGCCAAGTTCGGGTCGGCGCCACTCTTGAGCAGCAATCGTGCCACATTCCTTCTGTCGTAGGCCAATGCCAAGTGTAGCGCAGAATAGCCTGTCTCGTGCACGAGGAGATTGGGATCCTGGCCGAGCTCGAGAAATTTCTCGACGACGTCATCGCAGCCGATAGCGCAGGCCACATGGAAATGAGTCAGGCCCGACGAGTCGGTGTAATTAACGTCGAAATCGTTGTAAATTTTAAAAAGCTCACGGACCATGATGTCCTTGTTGAGAAATCCGCTCCTAGCCGCATGATGCAGTGCTGTAGTTCGACGCTCAAGTGGCTTACCGTCTTGCTCAATTTTAGGCAGATCTTTGTAGCCGCTGAGAGCCACAAATTTAATGATTAGTTCTCCTGAACGATTGTAATCCTCCTCGTCACGAAAACTAATGGATTCAGTGAGAAACCAATCAACTTCTTCCTTTCCGAAAATGGCTCGAAGATTTGGATATTGACCATCCCAATTTCCGAATAAGTCGTAAAGTTGACAAAGAAATTCATGTCTATCTGTGTCAATCTGATAATTGACTTTTTCACGTATTCTTCTCAATTTTTTCAAGTTTCGTTGGTTAATTCGATCGTCCACGTGTTCGAAATAATATTCGCCTGCATCATGAATATTTTCCTCGAGTTCGTTTTTGTACATGTTCGTCGTTTTGCGCACTGATCCGCCACTCGCAATCGTTTATAATTATAAATAATAATTTTTTTTTTCACAAAAATCACTTACTGTGGATGACGCGCGATATTTTTAAGCTGTTTACGCTGCGGCGTCCTGATGGTACTGAATTGACGATGCGCCTATGCTACGGCACTTGCAGCGTCAGACTCTACCTCCTCGTGGCGCTCAGACGTCGGAATTACGAAACTCACGTATAAAGAGCCATCTACATAGTGCGAATAGAATTTATCTTTGAAAATCAAGAGTTTATATGATTTCAGAAATGTGTAATGCAAATATGTAAATTTTTGTTTTTACCTACAGGTAGTATATGAAGGGTGATACTTTATTTTTTGCATTTTCTAGATTTAGTCCTTTCATAGTGAGCAGATATCTGCGCGTGTAAAAATGTTTTAAATTAACAGAAACGCCGATATAACAAGTTTTCGTGAATATTAAGCACGCTCCTACATTCTGAATGGTTTTTGGGTGAATTGTTACATGTCATATAATAATATGACATTAATTTAAACAAGTAAGGCCAGATTATACTATATAATTTTATTTAGTTGAAAGGTTAACGGAAAATAATTAGGCAATAATAAACGTACGTTGAAATCATAAATCTATTTATACATAAAATTAAACAATTATCAATAAATGAGACAATTTTAGCTGACTCTAAACATTTTTTTTTAAATTATTATACCCTTTTAATCCTTATACAAAATCTTCAGGAGTGTGCGAGTACTCGAGTTTTCTTACGGCGTGAACACTAACAGCTGTTCTATTTTCTTTATGCATGAAACTTGTTAAAACCGCGAAAAACTCGCAAAAACGATAATCCTGTTGAAACAGAGTCTTTGACGCGCTGTGATTGGCCGAAGTTTGAATGCAGCGGCGTTTACCCCCATCTCTCTCTCTCTCGCCCTGTGCTTGCACGAACTCGCCCTTCTTGCGTTTGTGATATAGCTTCGCGCGACTCGCGAGGCCGCTCAGTACTCGTTACGACACCGCAACGACAACATCCACCGATACTGTGATTTTCACCAAAAAAGAACAATTATTAAACATTTTTCAGTGACTTTATGTGTTGTGTATAAGTGAGTTAAAAAATAACATGTCCAACAACAAATTCGATACTAATCTCAACAATGCCGATGAGGACGAGTACGATCTCAATTCCGAGATTTCGAATCTCTCCAAGATGCTCTCTAATTTGAATAAATTGAAGGATATGAGAGAGAATGTCATTCGGCAGATGCAACAAGATGGAAGAAATATCATACCGGAAATTCATCCACTGATAAGAAATTGGGAGGGTCAAAATCCAGACCTCGGAAAAATCTTTCGTCGAGAAGAGATGAATTGGCTTCTCACGGAGTACGTAAAGTTCATTAAAATTCCCAGTGCGTTGGAAGCTAATTTACTCAGTTTCGTGATCAAGTGCGGATACAAGGACAAGCCCGAAATTGATAAGGACAACAAGCCACTACTGCGTCGAACCACACCGGTGCATCACGCGGCTCGGAGTAATAAAAGTTACGTCATCTCCGATCTCTTCAAAATATACGACAGATTCGACGCCAACTACGTCGACGAATTTGGATTATCGCATTTTCACGTGGCCTCCCAGTGCGGTTACGATGACCTCGTCGTGAAATTTCTCGAGCTCGGGCAAGATCCCAATTGTCTACTTGAAAAATCCATCGATCCTCCGCTGCACTTGGCTCTGGCCGGCAGCCACAAGAAGGTGGCCGAATCACTGCTCAGAAACGGAGCCGATCCGAATTCAACCGACCGTTACGGATCGACGCCTCTGCACATCATTTGTCAGAACGACTTTGACGCTGATTTTATCGAGCTGTTCTTCAAGATCAACGACGAGAAGCGTCGACTGGTGCGGCTGAATAGCCGGGACAAGTTCAACGATACACCGTTGCACTTGACGCTGCGATTCGCGAACCAATACAGCGTCGAAAAAGTGGCCAAGTTGTTGCTGGAAAGAGGCGCCGATCCGAACGTGGCCAACGTGGATGGCTTAACACCGCTGCACGTCATCTGCAAGAGGAAGAACGACGCCGCGGACTTGGCGGAGACGCTGTTACGGATCTGCGACGACAGACGTCAGGTGGTGCACGTCGACGCCTTGGACAACTCGGGCCGTACGCCGCTTCAATGGGCCGTGGCCAATCTCCATCCGAATCTGGTCGACGTTATCTTGGATCACGGAGCGGAACTGTCGAGCTTCGTCTTCCCCACCCCGAGTCAATTCCACAAGGGATTCGTGTCGCTGCTGGAAGAGACGTGGATTCATTCGAAATTGAGAGCCGTGTCCGGCGCTCGAGCCGTCGTCAACGCCTCGAAAAAAGGGGATACAAACTGAACCGAAGGAGCGTCCAGACGATTACGAAATAATTCGAAAAGTATGGATTGTTCGAGAAGACGGATCCCAACCGGCTTTGGTACGACGACGATGAGTTTACGAGCATCGCGAAAAAAATAATCATGAGTCCGGATCTGTCGTTGTACGACCTGATTCGTTCACCAGCCGCAAAAGCAGAGGAGTTACTCCCAAGTGAAGATTACTATCACGAGCTCGTCTTTTCGTGCGAGTGGTTGAAGCTCTCCCAGAAATTCCGCATCGGCAGCGTAACGCAGCTGTGCGATATTATGGCGAGGGGATTTTTGTATAAGCGACGGGCATTGGTCTCCCTGTTGAAGCTGACGCGTAACAAGCTGCCGATTCTTTGCTACGAAATGATCATCGAGCCTCTGACGAACAAAGACTTGTGGCATGTTTACTTGGCGTCTCCACCTGCAAGCTGAAACAAGATATCTCGATACATTTGCTGTATTCTTTTATTTGTTGCAATACAAAATCTTGTAGTTTTTTTCCTTATTGTACATATAAATAAAATTGTTTTAAAAAATCGAATTGGATTTTTATTTTTGTGTTGTAATTTTATTCAAAGTTTCATTTATGAAAATCACGAAGAAGATTCTCATCTCTCTGATATTTCAAAGGTACACCGTAATAATATCGAATGGCTCGATTCGAAGGTAAAATATGATTTATCGTCACTTTACACCTCGAATAGACGTGCTGCTACACTGATGCGTCGCTTATAAGCTGAAAAATTATCAGGTAATTTTTCTAGCGGCTCCCCGACATGAAACTAAACGAGAATAAAACCAGCTCACAAAACAGAAAATTTCAACTAAAATTCTGCGCGCATACGGCACTTTATCGAAGTGCCGAGAATCGACTCGCTTTACTCTACTGCGGGCTCTGTCAAGTGTCATGCTCTCACATGCCTTTCTGGCGCTGCTGTGCGTATCCAAGCATGAGTCACTATATTTCGAACGCTCGGCCGCCTTCTTGTGTCTTTGATAGTTTCGCGAGGCCGCACAGTAGTCAGTACTCGTTACGACGCCGTAGCGCGAACAACAAAGATATATCGTATCGACTGCATCAAGTGATTTTTACAAAATATAAAAACTACTGAACATTTTAAGCGACTGTGTGTGGTGTGTTAAGTGCAGAAAAAAATGACCAACGACAAAGTCGACGTGTATTACAGCAATGGCGTAGATGGAGGCCTGTACAACTTGGATTTCGAGATTAAAAATCACGTTACGATAGTTTCGAACTTACGAAAAATGAAGAAGCTGCGTGAAAAGGTCATTCGAGAGATGGAAAAAGGTCAAAAATCGAGAGTGAATCTTTTCAAAGAACTTGATCCGTTGATCAGTAATTGGAAGGGTCAATACCCAGACCTTGGAAAACTTTTTCGTCGCGAACAGATGGATTGGCTTCTCACAAAGTATGTTGAGTTTATTGAAATTAACAAAGTGATAAAAACGAATCTACTTAGTTTTGTGATCGAATGCGGCTATAAAGACCAGCCCGATGTGGATAAGTACGACAAGCCACTTCTTCGTCGAACAACAGCAGTGCACTATGCTGGTAGTCGCAAATTTTTTAACGAGAACAGTACGATTCGTGAGCTTTTTAGAATATACGACAGATTTGATGTGAACTACTGCGACGTTAAAGACGTCACGCACTTTCACGTGGCTTGCAAGAATGGCTATTACGACGTCGTTGAAAAATTCCTCGAGCTTGGCCAGGATCCTAATTGTCTGGCGCAAAATTCATTCAGTTCTCCGCTACACTTGGCTCTGTACTGGAACAGAAGGAACGTGGTCGAGTTGCTGCTGAAAAACGGCGCCAACCCTAATTTAGCCAATAAAGATGGATTGACACCTCTGCATTTAATTTGCGCGAGAGAATGTGACGATGACCTTGCAGAGCTATTCTTCAAGATGTGCGACGACAGTAAACATTCATTACAGATCGACGCTCGAGGCAAGTGGGACCAAACACCTTTGCACGTAGCTGTATTCTATAGCAATAAGAAGGTAGCTAAATTGCTACTAAAGAGAGGCGCCGATCCGAATAAGGCCACCGAGCATGGGTTGACATCTCTGCATTTTATTTGCAAGAGCAAGAACGATGCTGCTGATATGGCTGAGACACTATTTCAAATCTGTGACGATAGACATCATCTGGTACAGGTCGATACAAAGGACAAATCAGGTTGGACACCGCTTCAATGGGCCGTCGCCAATCTCCGTCCGAATTTAATAGATGTACTTTTGGATCGTGGTTCAAAACTATCCAACTTTGTATTTCCCACGATGAGTCACTTCAACGTAGGATTTGTGTCGATGTTGGATGAAACGGCGGTTCATGCAAAATTGAAAGTCGTTTTTGACCTTCGAACCGTTGTCAAACGCTTGGAAAAAAAAGGATACAAACTGAAACTAGAGGACCTGCAGACGATCAAGAGATTGTTGGATGAGTATGGGTTGTTCGAGAAATTGACAAATCTCGACCAACGTTGGTACGAAAAGGAGGAATTTGCGAAAAAGTCGAAACATCTGATGGTGAGTCCAAGTGTGTCGCTCTACGACCTTATCCGTTCACCACTCGCAAAAGCAGAGGAGATACTCCCAAGTGAAGATTACTATCTCAAGCTCGTGTCTTCAACAGAATGGTCGAAGCTTTCCGAAGAATGTCGCATTGCGAGTGTTGCGAAGCTATGCGAGATAATTGCGAGGGGATTTTTGTACAAGCGACGAGCATTGGCATCTCTCGTGAAACTGACGCGCAACAAGCTGCCGCTCTTTTGCTACGATATGATCATCGAGCCGCTAACGAACAAAGATTTGTGGCATGTTTACTTGGCGTCTCCAAGCGAAAGCAGGAGATCTTTATAATCATTTCATGCTTTATAATAATTTTCCATATCATTCAAATAAATACATTTAATAAAAATTTGAATTCATTGATTTTTTTCTAAGTTTAAGTGTTACTTGTTTTAATTTTATTTCCAATTTTATTCGCTATAAATCATAGAGAAGTTTCTCGTCTTGCACAGCTGCTTCATTTTTTTTTTCATTATTTTGACCGAAGTAAATACCGAATATTTTCTATGGTATCTTTGCACCATAAATGGACGTTCGTACTTATTCGTGAGAAACATCGCTGGTAGATTATAATGATTTTATCTTAAAATTTGATGCATCAGTCGAAGCTTGGGAGGCCGTATACATCCGACGAATCTCCGCGACTTACTCAGTCTCGATCGAAATCGAATCGATCTCAGCTTCCACATAGATTACAGGGCCGAGCCCGCGAGCTCGAAACACGCATGGAAATCCGATAACTTTTTGCGGCACACCGCTGCATCGACTGGCCCAACGAGGCAGACTATTTTGCACATCTTCAAGATAGATCGACCTGAATTACATCGACGATCGTGGCCACGACGAATTTTATGACGAACAAAGATTTGTGGCATATTTACTTGGTGTGTTCAATTTACCTGCAAGCTGAAACATTTGCTGTACTCTTTTATTTGTTGCAATATAAAACCTTGCAGTTTTTTTCTTTATCGTACATATAAATAACATTGTTTTAAAAAATCGAATTGGATTTTTATTTTTGTGTTGTAATTTTATTCAAAGTTTCATTTATGAAAATCACGAATAAGTTTCTAATCTCGCTGATATTTCAAAGGTACACCGTAATAATATCGAATGGCTCAATTCGAAGGTAAAATATTATTTATCGCCACTTTACACTTCGAATAGACGTGTTTGGTCCACTTACTAGTGAAAAACGTCGACGAGATAATGATCAACAGTTTTACGTTAATCTTTCAAATCGCGTCGCATGCAAGCTGTAAAATTATTAGGTAATTTTTTCTACTCGTTCTCTGATGTGAAGTCGCGGGTAATATGATAGATTTCGGCTTTATTTCGCCACGCGGCTCCCGGACATGAAACTTTACCAGAGTAAAATCAGTTAACACAACAGAAAACTCAACTTAAATTCTGCGCGCATGCGGCACTCTATTTATATTGAAGTACCGAGAATCGGCTCGTTTACCCTACTGCGAGCTCTGCCGCATGCTCTCACATGCCTTTCTGGCGCTGCTGTGCGTGTCCGTGCACGAGTCACTATAGTTCGAACGCTTAGCTGCCTTCTTGTGTCTTTGATAGTTTCGCGAGGCCGCAGAGTAGTCAGTACTCGTTACGACGCCGCAGCGTGAACAACAAAGAAATATCGCATCGACTGCATCAAGTGATTTTTACAAAAAATAAAACCTACTGAACATTTTTAACGGCTGTGTGTGGTGTGTTAAGTGCAGAACAAAAAAATGACCAACGAAAAAGTCGACGTGTATTACAGCAATGGCAGTGATGGAGGCCTGTACAACTTGGAATACGAAATTAATAATCACGTTACGATAGTTTCGAACTTACGAAAGATGAAGAAGCTGCGTGAAAAGGTTATTGGAGAGATGGAAAAAGGTCAAAAATCGACCGAGAAATCGAGAGTGAATCTTTTTAAAGAACTTGGTCCATTGATCAATAACTGGAAGGGTCAATACCCAGACCTTGGAAAACTTCTTCGTCACAAAGAAATGGACTGGCTTCTGATGAAGTATGTTGAGTTTATTGAAATGAACAAAGTGATAAAAACGAATCTACTTAGTTTTGTGATCGAGTGTGGATATAAGGGCAAGCCCGAAATTGATAAGGACAACAAGGCACTACTGCGTCGAACTACACCACTGCATCACGCGGCTCGGAGTAATAAAAGTTACGTCATCTCCGATCTCTGCAAAATATACGACAGATTTAACGTAGACTATATCGACGAAGGTGGGTATACACCTTTTCATGTGGCTTGCAGGGATGGCTGTTATGACGTCGTCGAGAAGTTCCTCGAACTCGGCCAAGATCCCAATTGCCCACTTCAGAAATCAGTCGATCCGCCGCTGCACTTGGCTCTGTACCATAAGCATCAGAACGTGGCCGAGTTGCTGCTGAAAAACGGCGCCAACCCTAATTTAGCTACTGAAGACGGATGTACACCTCTGCATTTAATTTGCGCGAGAGAATGTGACGATGACCTTGCAGAGCTATTCTTCAAGATGTGCGACGACAGTAATCATCGATTACAGATCGACGCTCGAAACAAGTGGGACCAAACACCTTTGCACGTAGCTGTATTCTATAGCAATAAGAAGGTAGCTAAATTGCTACTAAAGAGAGGCGCGATCCGAATACGGCCACCGAGCGTGGATCGACACCTCTGCATTTGATTTGCAAGAGAAATAATGATGACTCCACACACTTGATGGATACGCTATTCAGCATCTGCGACGATAGACATCAGCTGGTACAGGTCGATACAAAGGACAAGTCAGGTTGGACACCGCTTCAATGGGCCGTCGCGTATCTTCATCCGAATTTGGTCGACGTTCTTTTGGATCATGGTGCAAAACTATCCAACTTTGTTTTCCCCAAAATGAGTCACTTCAACTTAGGATTTGTGTCGATGTTCGATGAAACGGCGGTTCATGCAAAATTGAAAGTCGTTTTTGACCTTCGAACCGTTGTCAAGTGCTTAGAAAAAAGAGACTACAAGCTGAAACTAGAGGACCTGCAGACGATCAAGAGATTGTTCGATAAGTATGAAGCGTTCAAGAAATTGCCAAATCTCGACCAACGTTGGTACGATAAGGAGGAGTTTTCAAGTGAAGCGAAAAATATCGAAATGAGTCCCAACCAGTCCCTCTACGATCTGGTTCGATCACCACCCGCAAAAGCAGAGGAGATACTCCCAAATGAAGACTACTATCACAAGCTCGTGTCTTCAACAGAATGGTCGAAGCTTTCCGAAGAATGTCGCATTGCGAGTGTTGCGCAGTTGTGCGAAATAATGGCGAGGGGATTTTTGTACAAGCGACGAGCATTGGCATCTCTCGTGAAACTGACGCGCAACAAGCTGCCGATCTTTTGCTACGATATGATCATCGAGCCGCTGACGAACAAAGACTTGTGGCATATTTGTTTGGCGTCTCCAAGGGAAACCAGGAGATCTTTATAATCATATTTTCAGTATATTTTTATATGACGTAACATTTAATATTTCACATTTGTCCATATCATTCAATTGAATGCATTTAATAAAAATTTGAATTCATTGATTTTTTTCTAAGTTTAAGTGTTACTTGTTTTATAATTTTATTTACAATTTTATTCGCTATGAATAATAGAGAAGTTTCTCGTCTTCATTTTTTTTTCGTTATTTTGACCGAAGTAAATACCGAATATTTTCTATGGTATATTTGCACCTTAAATAGACGTTCGTACTTATTCGTGAAAAACATCGCTTGTAGATTATAACTATTTTATCTTAAAATTTGATGCATCAGTCGAAGCTTGGGAGGCCTTATACATCCGACAAATCTCCGCGACTTACTCAGTCTCGATCGAAATCGAATCGATCTCAGCCTCCTCATAGATTACAGGGTCGAGCGCAGAAATTTCAATTCAATCGAACGTCTCGTCAGCTTCGTGGCTCGAATTAGCGGCTACAGGGACGAGCCCGCGAGCTCGATCCACGCACGGCAATCCAATAACTATTTGCGGCACATCGCTGCATCGACTGGCCCCACGAGGCAGACTATTTCGCACATCTTCAGTATATTCGACCTGAATTACATCGACGATCGTGGCCACGACGCATTTCCACATGGCCTGCGCGAGTACGGCTTATGATTTTTTTTTTATTAAGTACACGAGCGACCCGTAAGTACGCCGCATTTAAGATTTTCTTTCGCTGCTGCACACAGTTCAAGCTCTTTTATATAGCCTCGGTCACGTGCTTTTTTTCACTTTCTATGAAGATCGTAGTAAATGTATGCAGTCAGTATATATACAACGTGAATAACGAATAGAAAAAACAACGAGTGATTATTAGCGGTAAAAAATATTTCGTATCACAAGCGACCCGTGTAGTGCTGCGTCGAGTGAGAAAGCTATGAATTATATTATACGAGGATGGCCGAAGAACGCGACCATTTGGGCAACGCACCGCTGCACTTGGCCATAGAAAGCGGGGACTGATTCTTAGTCGAATCGTTGTTGAGAAATGCCGCCAACGCGATTCCATCGATCGACCGGTGCCGGTGCGGATCGACGCCCGGAACGAGTTCGGCGCAGGACACCGTTGCACCTGGCTCTGGGCGCGCGCGACACGGGCGTGTCCGAGTCGTGACCATATATATGCCGGTCAACGCCCGGGACGAGTCGGGCGACACACCGCTACACGTGGCTCTGGAACACTCGCACACGAAGACGGCTAAATTGCTGTTGAAAAAAGGCGCGACCCGAGCATAGCCAATGCATGAGAGAGGTTTTCTGCAAGAGATACAGCGGCAGCGATGCCCCGACCATCGAACTATTTTTCGCGCACAACGAGGTACAAGGAGGGTCGCACGCCTCTGCACTATACGCCGTCGCGACTGTCTCGCCGAGAGATATACGACGACCATTGGCTAGTCGACAAGAATCACGTGAAATTGGAACTGAAGGTCCGGTGTTCTGGCCATCGCCGAGCATCTCGAGGACAAAGGATACGTACTGGACCGAGACGCGATCGCGACGATCTTCTCGTTCGCGCGATTACGGACGACGCGCCGAATATTGGCTGGACGACGAGGCGAACTTCGCGAGACGAGCGAAATCGATATACAGATCGGCGAGAATCCGTCGCTCTTAGGACTGATCCGGTTGCGGCCCGAGGAGGCGTACGCGGACTACGCGTGAATTGGGGACGATCTCCAATATCCATTGCGATACTTGCGTCGAGCATCTGTGCGAGAAACTGCGTCGAGGGGAGTTTTTCGGCGATGGGCCCTCGAGCCGTTCTCCAAGCTGACGCGCGATCGACTGCCGACTCTCCGCTGCGAAACGATCCTGGACAAGTTGGCGAACGAGGATCTCCGCCGTATTTACTTGGCCGCGGCAGCGATCGTCTGAGCGAAGCGTTGCGCTATCGCACTAGGATATTATATTCTTTGCCTCTTTTAATTAATGTCTGCCCGGCAACTGTCGCTTTGAATTTCTAGCGTTATATTTTAATTTTTTTTTATATATATTTTCGTAATGAGATGCTTTACTCATTCAACTTGTATCAATGAAAACATTAATCCTTTTGATATTGCCAGTTTGGCAGGCTACGCGAAACAGCGATAACCCCTTGTCAACAGACATTTTCGGACGATCAACAACAATTTCGGCCGACCAACAACGAAAGTAAGTAAACGTGTTAATGATTAAAGTCACGAAGTTAAAGTAAAACCCAATCATTTTGCCACAAATTTTATTGAAATTCTAGAAAAAAATTTAGATCAGCGTCAATACATATATTTACAATTGTCGAAAAAATCTTGCAATAAAATGAACAATAAATTATACATAAAAACTTGATCGTCCTCGGACTTGATTAGATTTAGTTGCGCCTATTTTTATTTACGAGAAAAAAGCGCTAGAGAGATATTTAAAGAGTTAATAGCAAAGCAAATTATAATAAGAAAATGTATTACTACGATGAAAATGGATTTTATACAGATAGGTATTTTTTCACGCAAAATGAAATAGCCTTCGATGAAACTTTTTTAAACTTGATCCAGTATATATTCTAAAAATCAATGTTTAGAATTTAATATTAGTGAATTATTTTTTGGTGATCGATCAAATGTGATTTTTTTCCAAATTTCTCCTTGCACTTGGCACACGCGTAATCTTTGCGACCTCCGTGAACAGTCCGTTGATGTTTAATCAAATCTGATTTGTGTCCAAATTTCTTTTCACACGTGTCGCATGCGAACTTTTTGCGACCTTTATGGACTATTCTTTTATGGTTAAGCAAATGCGATCTTTGTCCGAATTTTTTTTCGCACGTGTCACATGCGAAATCTTTGCGACCTTCATGGACTATCCTTTGGTGTTTGAGCAAATTCGATTTTGTTCCAAATTTCTTCTTGCACTCGTCGCATGCGAAATCTTTGCGACCTTCGTGGACTGTCCTTTGGTGCTTTAACAAATCTGATTTACTCCCACATTTCCTTTCGCAATTATCGCATGCGTAGTTTTTGCGACATTCATGTACTGTCTTTTGATGGAAAAGCAAATGACTTTTATGTCTAAATTTCTTTTCGCACTTGTCGCAAGCAAAATCTCTGCGATCTTCGTGGACTGTCCTTTGGTGAAGAAGCAAATCTGCTTTGCGTCCAAATTTCTTCTCGCACTTGTCGCATGCGTAATCCTTGCGAACTTCGTGAACTGTCCTATGGTGTCGTAGCAAATGCGTTTTATGTCCAAATTTCTTCTCGCACTTGACACACGCGTAATCTTTGCGACCTCCGTGAACAGTCCGTTGATGTTTAATCAATTCTGATTTGCGTCCAAATTTCTTTTCACACGTGTCGCATGCGAACTTTTTGCGACCTTCATGGACTATTCTTTTATGATTAAGCAAATGCGATCTTTGTCCGAATTTTTTTTCGCACGTGTCACATGCGAAATCTTTGCGACCTTCATGGACTATCCTTTGGTGTTTGAGCAAATTCGATTTTGTTCCAAATTTCTTCTTGCACTCGTCGCATGCGAAATCTTTGCGACCTTCGTGGACTGTCCTTTGGTGCTTGAACAAATCTGATTTACTCCCACATTTCCTTTCGCAATTATCGCATGCGTAGTTTTTGTGACATTCATGTACTGTCTTTTGATGGAAAAGCAAATGACTTTTATGTCTAAATTTCTTTTCGCACTTGTCGCAAGCATAATCTCTGCGATCTTCGTGGACTGTCCTTTGGTGAAGAAGCAAATCTACTTTGCGTCCAAATTTCTTCTCGCACTTGTCGCATGCGTGATCTCTTCGACCTTCGTGTACTAGTTGTTGGTGCATCACTGAATCTGATTTGGTTCCAAATTTTTTGTCGCACTTGTTGCACGTGTAATCTTTGCGACCTTCGTGTACAGTTCTCTGGTGTACGAGCAAATGTGATCTTTGTCCGAATTTTTTTTCGCACTTGTCGCATACGTAATCTTTGCGATCTTTGTGAACTGTTTTATGGTGTCTAATCAAATTGCATCGTTGTCCAAATTTTTTCTCGCAATTATCACATTTGTAGTCTTTGCGATCTTCGTGGACTGCCTTCATGTGCAAGAGCAAACTATGAGTAGTATTAAATTGTTTCAAACACAGATCACAGAAATAATTTCTAAAAACTTGGTGGAATACTTTTCGGTGCTCAAGTAAATTTGATTCATTATCAAATGTTTTCTCGCAGTCGTCGCATGAATAATTTTTTCGATTTTCATGGACTGTTTGTCGGTGCGTATTCAAAACGCCTTGAGTCACAAATGTCTTCTCACACTTGTTGCATGTGTGATATTTTCGAACTTCGTGTACTAACGTTTTGTGGTAGAGCAAACTCGCTTCACGTGAAAATTTCTTCTCACAAAGATGGCATGAAAAATCTTTGCGACTTTCGTGGACTGTCTTCATGTGCGAGAGCAAACTATGTATGGTATCAAATCTCTTGGCGCACATTTCACATGAGTAATTGGTGTAAACTTCGTTGGATAGTTTTCGCTGCTCAAGTAAAGTTGATTTATTTTCAATGTTTCGATTGCACTTTTTGATCATGAAATCTTCGCGATTTCTATGCATTAGTTTTTGGTGCATAATCAAACACGATTGATTCACAAATGTCTTTTCGCACTTGCCACATGCGTATTTTTTTTGTTCTGTGTGAACTGTGAATCGGTGAAATATCATGCTTGATTTTATCGCAAATATTTCCTGACAAATATCACAGTAGTATTTTTTGTCGTTTAAAGCGACAACGTCGTGTTCACTTAAATTATCTATTGAGATAATTTCTTCCGATTTCTTCTGACTTTGATCCATTTTGGTGCCACGGAAATTGATAATGAGTAAAATCTATCTTTTGGTATTATGGCTTGTGTCATCGGGAAAGACAACATTCAACTAATTTTACTTTCCAGTAAGCATGATCGCTGTGTTGAGGGAATATGTCAAAATCGCTTATGATCCTGTTGTTTACAATTGATTGCCGATTTATCTGTTTATACATTGTTCTGACAGTGCTCGAAACCATTTGAAATTCTAACTTAGCGACAATTACTCCGATAAATAAACTAAGTACTTAAAGATAACTCCTCGTTTTATATCGAGTCAATAGATCCTCATTTCGATCTCGTTAAATCTCGTCAATCTAACGCGTATTGATCGCGTGATAATTTGCGACATGATTATCGAGAATTTGAATAACGAAGATTTGTATCATATTTGCTTGGCGGCTACAGGCCTGAACTCATAATGGTTCAGTTCATGTTGACAACCATAATTGGCAATTGTTCAATCGACATACTGTAACCGACTTAATAAAATCTGCCTCACAATTTACGAGTTTTAAATGACTATTCCACATTATCCAATTCCTACCTTAAAAAAACACTAGTTTTTAAGAGTTTATAAGAGCCTCGATCGAATTAAGAAATTATGAACCACTGAATGTTCTATTTTTTTCAATAGATTGGGATTTTATTTGCATTTAACGTCTTCTGGTACTCTGATCATAGGAAGTAATACATTTTGTAGCTCATCTAACTTACTGCAGTGGTGGGTTATAAAGCAATTTGATCTTGTTCATCGGCAGTTACTTAGTTTCAGAAATTCAAAAAACTCTTCGAATGAATCGTCACCAAGTTAGAGTTTTAAAATGTTTCAAATATTGTAAGAATAATGTAAAAATAAAATTAATCGGTAGCTTGATTGTAAACAATACGATCATAAACGATTTCGACATATTTTCTCGATACACTGATCACGATTATAGTGAAAATAAATTAGTTTGAATGTTGTCTTTCCCGATGAAACAAGCTATAACACCGAAAAATAAATTTTACTTATTCAATTTTTGCAGCACTAAATAGAAGGATCCATCATTTTACGGCGATAAAATGGATAAAAGTGAGAAGAAATTCGAGGAAGTTGACTCTGAATATGTTTCAAGCGACAAACAACACATTTATGATATTTGTCAGCAGGCATTTACTCTTGAATCAAGCATGATTACACACCGAGAGGCAATCCGCAATGAACAAAAAGATTACTTATGCGACAAGTGCGAGCAGAAATTCGAGTTTCGAAGTCATTTGAGTAGACACCAAATATCGGTACACAGAGGCCGCAAAGATTTTGCATGCGACCAGTGCGAAAAGAAATTTGTGAAAAAATCGAGTTTGTTCACGCATCAAAAATTGGTACACAAAAATCGTGAAGATTACTCATGCAACAAGTGCGAGAAAAAATTTGAAAATAAATCAAATTTAATCAGACACAGAAAAATATTTCACGAAGTTTTCAAAGATTACTTATGTGAAAAGTGCGCGAAGAGATTTGTAAATAAACAGAGTTTGTTCATACATATAAAGAAAGTTCATGAGGTTGGCAAAGATTTTCCCTGCGACCAGAGCGCGGACGTATTTATAAAAAAATCGCATTTGATCGACCACCAAATCACAATACATAAAAGTAACAGAGACTTTTCAGGTAATAAGTGCGAGAAGATATACGATAAAAAATTCAATTTACTCGTACACCAAAAAACAGTTCTCAAAGGTCGCAAAGATTTTGTACGTGATGATTGCGAGAAGAAATTTGGAAGTAAATCCAATTTGTTGCAGCACCAAAAAACAGTTCACGAAGATCGGAAAGATTTTGTATGTGACAATTGCAGCAAGAAATTCGGACAGAAACATCATTTGCTCTTGCACATGAAACTAGCCCACGAGAATTGCAAAGATTACGTATGCGATAAGTGCGCGAAACAATTCGGGAAAAAATGGAATTTGCTTTACCATCAAAGGACAGTCCACGAAGATCGCAGAGATTTTGCTTGCGACAAGTGCGAAAAAAAATTTAGACAAAAAGGTCACTTGCTTTCCCATCAAAAGACAGTACATGAATGTCGCAAAAGCTACGCATGCGATAATTGCGAAAGGAAATGTGGGAGTAAATCAGATTTGTTAAAGCACCAAAGGACAGTCCATGAGGGTCACAAAGATTATTTATGCGACAAATGCGAGAAAAAATTTGGCAAAAAATCGAATTTCCTTTTCCATCAAAGGACAGTCCACGAAGGTCGTAAAGATTACGCATGCGACAATTGCGAAAGAAAATGTGTAAGTAAATCAGATTTGTTGAAGCACCAAAGGGCAGTTCATGAGGGTCGCAAAGATTTCGCATGCGACGAGTGCAAGAAGAAATTTGGAACAAAATCGAATTTGCTCAAACACCAAAGGATAGTCCACGAAGGTCGCAAAGATTACGCATGCGAGAAGTGCGAGAAAAAATTTGCACGAAAATCGTGTTTGCTCTTGCACATGAGAACAGTTCACGAGGGTCGCAAAGATTTCTCTTGCGACAATTGTGAAAAGAAATTTGCACGTAAATCCGATTTACTCAAACACCAATTGACAGTCCATTATGGTCGCAAAGATTACTTATGCGACAAATGCGAGAAGAAATTTGGACAGAGATCGACTTTACTTTTGCATCAAAAGACAGTCCACCAAGGACGTAAAGACTATGCATGCGACAAATGCGAGAGGAAATTTGGGGCCATATGCAATTTGCTCTCTCATCTGAAGACAGTCCACGAAGGTCGCCAAGATTATGCATGCGATAAGTGTGAGAAAAAGTTTGGGGTAAAAATGAATTTGAAAAGACATCAAAATACAGTCCACGAGGCTCGTAAAGATAAATCCGAGAAGAAATGATATTTGACTGTTGTAAATATGGGAGGCGATTTTCAAAACTTTCAATAAAAATTGTGTTGAAATGATTTTGTATTACACGAACCTCGGACATTCAACTAACATTACACTTTTGAACACTGACGTTGAAATTTTGAGATTTAACTATTATTTTCCCCGAATCTGATCTAGACTTGAGTCTATATATAATTTGGGACATTTACTATTTTCTATGTTATAAAAGATATCAAAAGGATATGAAAATTTGAAAGATTGACCCGCATTTGCTACAAACGCAAGATATTATAGTTACATTACCCAAAGTAATCACTTGAGCAATCATTTCAAGCTATTGTATTCTTCAAACATGCGCTGAACAAAATAAGACAGAAAAGAGCCCGATTGGGACGAGAAATGACGAACTGACTGTTCTATTTTTTTAGTAGATTGAGATTTTATTTGCATTCACAGTCTTCCGATATATTATATCTGCACAGTGGCTCAGTGGTTATGGGGGCTATAGTGCATCGATATGTTTCGTGCCTGCGGCTCAAAATTTACTTTTGTTTCCTTCCGGTCAAGAGAGATTTTTTGTCGCTATTTCGCATATTGTTCCTTCGCACAGCTAATAACGTTATCAAACACGCCGTTTCACTTGACCCTGAAATTCGGCATGTTCGGCGTGGAAAGAGCGACCGAGCTGCTGCTGAGAAACGGCGCGATCCGAAACTCGCTGACGCGGATGGATTCACGCCTCTGCGCGTGATCAGCAGGAGAAGGAACGACGCAGCCGACTTGGCCGAAACGCTATTTCGCGCGCTGAGCATCAAGTGCCTGTGCGAGATAACGTCCAGAGGATGTTTTTTCTCACCGTGGGTGCTGAGCTCGTTTTTCAAGCTGACGCGCAACAAGTTATCGCGTTGCAACATGATCATGGGCTTGTTTACGAATAAAGATTTGTGGAACTTTTGTTTGGCGATTGCGAGCAGTAACTCACGATCATATGATTCTGAATATTTTATGTCATTAAATATTGAAAAATTGCCATACTATTCAAATACATTTATTTAAAACTAAATCTATAAATTTTTTCTTTTAATTTTATTTCTAATTTCATTAACAAAATCCACATCATAAACAACATTTTAAATAATAATCTCCAATTTTACTTTCCCTTTCCAAGTACGCCCGTACAAACTGAAAAATCATTATTTCGTATAATTTTTCCTTGGATATAGTATACTCATAATAAACCTACCAGTGCTCTAAAATTTAAGAAAAATGTTTACTTTGTTCGCATATAAAAATCATGCATTACGTTCAAAGAATTGTTTTCTGATATCAAAAAAGCGATCCGAATTTAACCGACAATTACGATAAAATTGCTCGTCATTTGTTAGAAAGAGTACGTAGCTGACTATTTCGACTTATTCTGCAAGATCCAGGACAAGAACCTGCTCGACATTAAAATTCTCTTCTCGACCCACGTGAATGTCTTCTTCTTCTTCTTCTTCTGTGGCTCCGACAGTGAGCAAGCTCTGTGTCATACGGCCATTAACGGGCTCCCACGTGAATGTGAGTGCGAAAATTAAATCTTTCTGCGTGCATGCGGCACTCCATCGAAGTACCGAGAATCGACTCGCTTTTGTCTCGTGCGGATTGCGGACTCGCACGCCTTTCAAGCAAAGTTTACATACAGCGCCACCGAGAATTGTATCTCTCTTGCGCTCACTTGCGCTGTGCGTGTCCACTGTCCGTGCACGAGCCGCTAGTTCGAACGCTCGGCCGCCTTCTTCTGTCTTTGATTCCCCAGACCGCACACTGCACAGTAGTCAGTACTCGTTACGACGTTGCAGCGTGAACAACGAAGTAAGACCGCACCTTCGACTGCCTCAAGTGTTTTTCACAAAAAATAAAAACTACTGAACATTTTAAGCGACTGTGTGTGGTGTGTTGAGTGCAGAACAAAATGTCCGACGACAAATTCGACGTGTATTTCAGCAATGGCGGAGACGGAGGCCTGTACAACTTAGATTACGAAATTAATAATTACCTTACAGTAGTCTCGAACTTACAAAAAATGAAGAAGCTGCGTGAAAAGGTTATTGGAGAGATGGAAAAAGGTCGAGAATCGACCGAGAAATCGAAAGTGAACCTTTTTAAACAACTTGGTCCATTGATCAATAACTGGAAGGGTCAATACCCAGACCTTGGAAAACTTTTTCGTCGCGAACAGATGGATTGGCTTCTCACAAAGTATGTTGAGTTTATTGAAATGAACAAAGCAATAAAAACGAATCTACTTAGTTTTGTGATCGAGTGTGGATATAAAGACAAACTTGATGTGGATGAAGGCGGCAAGCCGCTACTGCATCGAACTACACCACTGCATCACGCGGCTAGGAGTAGTAAAAGTTACGTCATCTCCGATCTCTGCAAAATATACGACAGATTTAAAGTAGACTATATCGACGAAGGTGGGTATACACCTTTTCATGTGGCTTGCAGGGATGGCTGTTACGACGTCGTCGAGAAGTTCCTCGAACTCGGCCAAGATCCCAATTGCCCACTTCAGAAATCAGTCGATCCGCCGCTGCATGGGGCTCTGTACAATAACCAAAAGAACGTGGCCGAGTTGCTGCTGAACCACGGAGCTAACCCTAATTTAGCCGATGAAGATGGATGGACCCCTCTGCATGTTATTTGCTCGAGAGAATGTGACGATGACCTTGCAAAGCTATTCTTCCAAATGTGCGGCGACAATAATCATCTATTACAGGTCGACGCTCGAGATAAGTTGGACAATACACCTTTGCACTTAGCTGTGTGTAATAACAATAAGAAAGCAGCTAAATTTCTACTGCAGAGAGGTGCCAACCCTAATTTAGCCAATAAAAATGGATATACACCTCTGCATGTTATTTGCTCGAGAGAATGTGACGATGACCTTGCTGAGCTATTCTTCCAGATGTGCGATGACAGTAATCATCCATTACAGGTCGACGCTCGAGACAAGAACGGACATACACCTTTGCACGTAGCTGTATTCTATAGCAATAAGAAGGCAGCTAAATTGCTACTGAAGAGAGGCGCCAATCCGAATGTGGCTGACGCGAAAGGACAGACGCCTCTGCACTTTATCTGTATGAACAAGACCGATGCTGCTGATTTAGCTGAGACACTATTTCAAATCTGTGACGATAGACATCAGCTGGTACGGGTTGATAGAAAGGACAAGTCAGGTTGGACACCGCTTCAATGGGCCGTCGCCAATCTCCGTCCGAATTTGGTAGATGTACTTTTGGATCATGGTGCAAAACTTTCCAACTTTGTATTTCCCACGATGAATCACTTTAACTTAGGATTTGTGTTGATGTTGGATAAAACGGCGGTTCATGCAAAATTGAAAGTCGTTTTTGACCTTCGGGCCGTTGTCAAGTGCTTAGAAAAAAGAGGCTACAAGCTGAAACTAGAGGACCTGCAGACGATCAAGAGATTGTTGGATGGGTATGAAGTGTTCAAGAAATTGCCAAATCTCGACCAATGTTGGTACGATAAAGAGGAGTTTTCAAGTGAAGCGAAAAATATCGAAATGAGTCCCAATCAGTCTCTCTACGACCTTATCCGTTCACCACCCGCAAAAGCCGAGGAGATACTCGCAAATGAAGACTATTATCACAGGCTCGTGTCTTCAACAAAATGGTCGAAGCTTTCCGAAGAATTTCGCATTGCGAGTATTGCGCAGTTGGGCGAGGTAATGGCGAGGGGATTTTTGTACAAGCGACGAGCATTGGCATCACTCGTGAAGCTGACGGGCAACAAGCTGCCGATTCTTTGCTACGAAATGATCATCGAGCCTCTGACGAACAAAGATTTGTGGCATATTTATTTGGCGTCTTCGAATGAAAACAAGAGATCTTTATAATCTTTATAACAATATTTTCAATATTTTTAATTTTTTTAATAATAAATGTTTCACATTTTTCTATATCGTTCAAGAGAATACATTTAATAAACATTTGAATTCATAACTTTTTTCAAATTCTAAGTGTTGTGTGTTTTAATTACATTTCCAATTTTATTCACATCAATCATAGAGGATCTCATTTTCTACAGATATTTTATTTTTTTTTGTTATTTTGACCTATACAATCAATCGATACTCACCGGGTTGTACGCCGTAATTACATTGTTCCTTAATTTGCGCACATAATTCTAAACGTTCTTTGTACTACGTAAAGAGGACGGCACGACTTAACTCCAGAAAAAATAACAAATATTTTTTATCGCTCATATCTCAACATTTTGAGTCGACGTTCGCATATTTGCTTGCTCGTAAGAATCATTAAATGATCACACAATTGGTTATTCTTTATTTCAAAGCTGACGATTTAAAATTCTATATTATTTCGCCCTCTAATGTACTAAATATTTGGGTTTGTTTCCGTGTCAGGCTCCACGGCACGAAAATTGATTACTTAATTTACGAGAATAAAATTATAATAGATACACTTGTGTGACTCAATAGAGAAGTAACCCTACGACACCAGAAAAAAAAACAAGCGACATAATCCTTTGGTGCACGGTGATTGACGAGCGATTTGTAGACGGTATGCCAAGTATTCAGTCGCTCTCCTCCCTGCGGTAAGCAAGCACAGACGAACGTTGTCGGCACTTGTGTCTTTGCAGCGTCTCTCTGCGTTAGTCATTTCAGTTTGCCTCGTTCGGTGTGCGCCTGTCCGAGCCAGTCAGGGTACTTATGGTCATAATCGAATCGGCTCGCCGTTTTCGTACTGTATCTTTAGATAGCTTCGCGAAATCGCTCAATACACGTTACGACGCCGCAGCGTGAACAACAAAGTAAGACAGCAAGTGTATTCCGCGAAATATACAACACATTCATTTTATAAACGACTGTGTGTGAGTGCGTTGAACATTATGGATATGTCTTCCGACGAAGGATCCGATCAAGAATTCCATGACGACGACGAGCTCGATTTCATCAATCGTCTTCCGTACCAAGAAAAATTGGAAAGGATCAAGAGCCTACGTGACCAAGTCGATTGGGGGATCGAAAGCGATCGAGATAATTTTCTCGGTCAAATTATTCCCGTTGTCAAGGACTGGGGCGAGTGGGAGAACCGATATCCAAATCTTCTGGACATCTTCGACGCACGAGATATCGAATTTCTTCTCTACGATTGTACGCGGTGCAGGTCCAACCGCGACAACCACGTGGATTACGAGCAGCTGCTCGAGTTCGTCGTCTTCGTGGCTCGCAGCGGCTACAAGGGCCAACCGCTGCTGAGTGACCTCACACCGGTGCACCTCGTGACCAGATGCTTGCGCAGCGACTGGTTCGAGGCCCTCGACTACCTCTTCGACATCTACGAGAAGAACGACGAGAACTACACCGACGAGTTCGGATTCACGCATTTCCACGCGGCCTGCATGTCTCGGCGCGCCGACGTCGTGGAGAAGTTCCTGGTGGTCGGCCAGGTGGATCCCAATTGTCCTGTGCCGAGTACGGGCGACTCGCCGCTTCACCTGGCCCTGAAGATGCCCTACGGCAACGCGGCGAAGAATATCCGACTGCTGATGGAACACGGCGCCGATCCGAACGCGACCAACGGCAAGGGCTTGACTCCACTGAACGTCATGTGCGAGGGTGACTGTCACCAGGAGGAGGTTGAGACTTTGTTGAAGATGGGCGAGAAGAAGCAACGGCCGGTGCAGGTCGACGCTCGTGGAACGGACGGCCGGACGCCTCTTCAATGGGCGGTGATGAATTTTTCGTCGCGCGTCGTCGACCTACTCTTGGATCACGGGGCCGATACGTCGGATTTACATTTTCCCACTGTGGACGACTACGACGCGAAATTAAAATCTCCTTTGAAGAATGAAATAAAAATGGTGTCGGGCTTTCTGGGCGTCGTCGAGAGCCTCGTGAAAAGAGGATACGCATTGGATCGAAGCGACGGCTTGTCGTTCATGAAATTTTCCGCCAAGCACGGATGCTTCGAGAAGTCCAAGGATCTTGAGAAATGTTGGTACCAAGACGAAAAGTTCGTGGAATGGGCGAAATATTGGAATATCGGTTCGAGCAAGCTGCAGCTCTGCGACTTTATCCGACTACGACCCGAAGAGGCGGCCAAACAACTAGCTTACACGGACTACTTCGACTTCGCCATACCGCTACTCAATATCACACTTCCCCGCGAGTACAGAGAGCCGTTCATCAGGCACGTGTGCGAAAAAATGTCGAGAGGATTTTTCCGACGATGGGCGCTGGATCCTTTGTTGGAGCTGACAGGCCGAAAGTTGCCGATTCTCTGTTGCGAGATGATCATCGGGCAGTTGTTGAACGAAGATATGTATAATATTTGCTTGGCGATTATCGACCAAAGCTCATGATGGGGATAAAGACATTTGTTGTATTTTTTAATGTTTTATGTCAAAAGTGTTGAAGATTTTTGATAACATTCAAATGAATAAATTTCAAAGAAAATGTAATTCTTTTTAATTTTATACTATCATTTTTATTTTCCAAAAATCATATGAAAGTTTCTCATGCTGCGCGGCTGCTTGATTTTTTTCGTTATTTAGACTGCACGCGAATATGCGATTGCTCACTGGTCAGATTCGACTCTCGATTCCCTCTGCTGGCAGCAAGTGAAACACTCGACTATGCTCGGCGCGCTCCGAGGTCGTTTTACTGCAATGTAACGTCAATATGCGTCGCGTATGTCTCTTTCGTGCTTTGCTTGTCCATACACGACTCGCGCCATCGCTCAGTACTCGTTACGACGTCGCAGCAGCGCGAACGACAAAAACACATCGAAAGGAATATTGCATCGACTGTATCAAGTGAATTTGAAACTTTTAAACGATTGTGCGCGGTGCGTGAGTTGAAGAGTTGAAATGTCCGACGATAAATTCGACGTTTATTTCGGTAATGGCGGAAAGGAAGGAATGTACGATTTGGAATCCGACATTAAAAATTATCTAGCGCTAGTCTCGAACCTCCAAAAAATGAAAAGCATGCGTGACATGGTCGTTCGAGAGATGAAGATAAATCGAAGATCGAACGTGAAATTGAAGGTGAATCTTTTTAACGAGCTCGATCCGTTGATCAGTAACTGGGAGGGTCAATATCCGGATCTGAGAAAACTTTTTCGTCGCGAAGAGATGGATTGGCTGCTCAAGGAGTACGTGACGACCGTCAAAAGCTACGAACATTTGAAAATCACGAATGTACTCGACTTTGCAGTCGAATGCGGATACAAGGACAAGCCCGACCTGGATAAAGGCGGAAAGAAGCCACCGTTGCGTCGCGCCACGCCGCTGCATCGGGCGTTCGGGTGCAGCTTCCTCGTCGGCCGTAGCAACGTCCAGAACCTTTTTAAAGTGTACGACAGGTACGACGTGAACTGCACCGACGAGTCGGGTCTCACGCACTTCCACGTGGCCTGCAAGTTCGGCTGCGACGACGTCGTCGGGAAATTTCTCGAGTTCGGCCAGAATCCCAATCTTCTCGGGCCGAAATCGATCGATCGGCCGCTGCACTTGGCTCTGGCCGGCGGCCACAAGAAGGTGGTCGAGCTACTGCTGAGGCACGACGCCGACCCGAATTCGGTCAACGAAAATAAATTGACGCCTCTGCAGACTATTTGCATCAAAGGCGGTGATTTTGACTCGACAAGGCGGTTATTTACTGTAACGAATAAAGAATATCAACCATCGAATACGTTATTGATTCTTGCGAACGATTATGTCGAGGCCAAATCGTGTCTGGAAAAGGGCGCTGGTCAAAATAAGGCCAATGCCGATGACTTAAAAACGGTGCACATCATCTGCAAGAGAAAGAACGATGCCGCTGATATGGCTGAGACGTTGTTCAAGATCTGCGACGATAGACATCAGCTGGTACAGGTCGACGGTTTGGACAAAAAAGGACGTACACCGCTTCAATGGGCCGTGGCGAATCTCTGGCCGAATTTGGTCGATGTACTCTTGGATCATGGCGCGGATTTATCCAAGTTCACTTTTCCCACCCTGAAGCACTTCAACGAGGGGTTCACGTCGCAGTTCAATCTAACCTGTGGTAATCTTAGTCAAATGAGAATCGCGTCTGGCGCTCGGGCCGTCGTCAAGCGTTTGGAAAAAAGAGGATATAAACTCAACCGAATGGATGCCAAGACAATCACGACATTGTTCGATGAGTATGGACTGTTCGAGAAGACGGATCTCGACCGACTTTGGTACGACGACGACGAGTTTACGAGCATCGCGAAAAAAATTACGATGAATCCGGATCTGTCGCTGCACGATCTGGTTCGATTGTCGCCTGAAAAAGCAGAAAAATCACTTCGATGTAAAGACTACTATCACGAGCTCGTGTTTTCGTGCGAGTGGATGAAGCTCTCCCAGAAATTTCAAGTAGCTAGTGTTACGCACTTGTGCCACATAATGCTGAGAGGATGTTTTTACAAGCGATGGGCAATGGGGTCTCTTTTGAAGCTGACGCGCACGAAACTGCCAATTTTTTGCTACGAAATGATCATCGAGCCGCTGACGAACAAAGATTTGTGGCATATATGCTTGGCGTCTCCGAGCGAAACCAGGAAATCTTTGTAATCATTTTCAGTATTTTTAAAATTTTTGTATTATTAAATGTTATCGATTTCTTCATACTGTTCAAATGCATACATTTAATAAAAGAATTAAATCCATTAAGTTTTTCTAACTTCAAGTGTTGTCAGTTTTTATTTTATCCCCAATATTATTCGCTATAAATAAAAGAGTTTCTCGTCTTGCATATAGGTGTTTTATTTCTTCCGTTATTAGGACCGCATGCTCGTACGTGATTGGCCAGCGCTACACAGATATAGAACGCCGAGAATCAGTTCGTCCCTCTCCCCCTTTACTGCAGTCTGCAGCAAGTAGAACACTCGACTCACGCTCAAGCCGTTGCAACGCCACGTAGAGTCGCTCCTCTCACTCGTCTCCCTCGAACTGTGCGTGTTCGCGCGCGTTCCAACGGTCAACCGTTAAACGAGCAGCCCTTCGTGCAACAGTTACAGCATTGAGTTAGCTTCGCGAGGTTGCTCAGTAAAACACGTTACGACTCCTCCAGAATAATAAAAGAAAATCGCAGCAAGTGTTTCTCGCCAAATAGAACAAGTTGTGTTGTGTGTATGTGCGTGGTGGCGGCGGCGCTGAACAATATAATAGACATGTCGTCCGACGACGAATCCGATTCGAGCTACGAAGTGTCCAGCGACGAGTACGATTCCGACGAAGTGGATCCGGAAAAATTGGAGAAAATCACGAGCTTACGAGACGAGATCCGCGATTGGGAGAACGAAGGCGAGCGAGATGCTTTTCTCCAACGGCTTTATCCCGTGATCAGGGACTGGGAGGGCCGTTATCCGAACGTTCTCGACATCTTTCGAAAGGAACAGATCGATCGTCTCCTCTTCGATTGCGTCGTTCACAAGCCCAAGTACAGCGGCAATTCATTCGGTAGATACGAGCCGCTCACCGAGTTCATCGAGTTCGTCGCACGCAGCGGCTACAAGGACGAGCCCGAGTCCGACAGACAAGACGACGTCCAACCGTCGCTGCGTCGCACCACACCGGTGCACCACGCGGCCAAGCGCCGCATGACCGACTGGGATCTGGCGCTGCGCGATCTCTTCGACATCTACGACAGGTACGACGCGAACTACGCCGACGAGGCCGGATTCACGCATTTTCACGCGGCCTGCCTGGCCGAGCGCGACGACGTCGTGGAAAAATTCCTGGTGGTCGGCCGGCTGGATCCGGACTGCCCGGTGCCGAGTACGGGGGACGCGCCGCTGCATCTAGCCCTGCGTCACCAACGCGACAAGACGGCCGAGCTGCTGCTGAGGTCGGGCGCCGACCCCAATCTCGCCAACGCCCGAGGATTCACGCCGCTGCACGTCATCGGCCAGAATTGCCGCTATCCCTGGCGCGTGGAGATGTTCTTCAGGATCAACGAGGAGAGGAATCAGCCGGTCAAGATCGACGCCCGGGACAAGTTGGGCCGTACGCCGCTGCAACTGGCGGTGACGAATTTTCTGCTGCACGTGGTGAACGCGCTGCTGGATCGCGGTGCCGACGCGAGCGCCATCGTCTTCCCGCCGTACGACATCTGGTTCGACGAGCTGCTGGAGCTCTGGTACAACGACGAGTGGACGATTGCCTCGCAGGCGCTGGGCGTCGTCGAGAGTCTCGAGAAGAGGGGCGGCTACGAGCTGCAACGACGCGACGCCTGGACGATCATGAGGTTCTTCGCCAAGCACCGGCTGTTCCGCGAGCCCGCGGATCTCGAGGAGCGCTGGTACGACGACGAGCAGTTCCGCAAGTGGGCCAAGGAGTGGAATCAGAAGATCGGCCCGAGCCAGCTGCCGCTCGGCGAGCTGGTGCGACTGCGACCCGCGGAGGCGGTTCGGCGATTCTCCTCGGCGGACTACTACAAGCTGATCATGCCCAAGTGGTTCCTGTCCGAGAGGCTGCACAAGCTGTGCACCGCCCACCTGTGCGAGCTCATGTCGAGAGGATTCTTCCGGCGATGGGCGCTGGATGCTTTGTTGAAACTGACGGCCGGCTACCATTTGCCGATTCTGTGCTACGAAATGATCGTCGAGCAGTTGCTGAACGAGGATCTGTGCAACGTTTGCTTCGCGACTACCGAACGTGAAACGTTTATGAGCTTTATGTAGTACTTTTTAATCTCGTACCTCAGATGACATTAATTATTGATATGCTATTAATTATTGATATTTTTCAAATAAATAAATTGAATTCATCATTTTGTTTTTTATTTATAAGAAATTATATTAAATTTCACACGTTTCAGTTGCTTATTTCTATTTCCGCGATTTTGATCTGCGCAATTACATCCGATGTTACACCGTGTTCAACCATAGTTTCCAGCACCAACGAACGAAATCTCTACATAATTTCGGCGACGGACGGACGCGAGCCTACAAAGACCCGTTACACGAATCTCGCCGGTGTCGCCTTAGAAATTTCCAGCCTGGTAAGTATGCGTAATAGGACGTTATTCATCGCGTGGTTTGTGTAAGGATGCCAGGCATTTTATATTATGTACACACATAATAATGTGAACGACACGCCTCGGTATTACGTACAGTTGACAACGACGCGACTATCGACTCGAGCGAGTAAATACCGAGTGTTTTTTATCGTATCTTTACACCTTGACGCGTGTATACTTTGTACTTACTCTTTTCTTGAGAGACAGTAACGACTCAATCATCAAATAATTTAACACATTTTCTTTCGAAGCCAAAAAATGATTTAATTTTTCTAACGTATGGCTGACACGAAAATTCTGTATCACACGTATACGAGAATAAAACCTATATTTCTCGTCGCGCATCATCGACCCACTTGAATGTATATCTCTCCAAAAAATCGTCTTTTCGCGTGCATGGCTTCTTTTCCTCTTTTTTTTTTTTTTTTTTAGTAAATATGCCAAAAAACTCGCGTTCGTAGCTAAAAATACCCACGTGTGTGCCACGACTCGCGCGTTTTTTTTTCATCGCATGCGATCGTCCGAGACGAGCACACATATAGACGCAAACTCCGACAATTCCGTATATCGCGAAACATTAAAATTCATCAATTTCGTCGAGGTACGCCAGACACCGCATCAACACATGTTCGTATGGAGTACAAAAAAAAAAGAACCACAAGCAGCAGCGGCGGCACATCCGGTTCTCCTGCGCTCCTTTTTCGCCTCAAATACACTCTACTGCTTCTCGTACACCTATATATCATATTATTATCGTGCCTATATGTCTCTTAAATTTACATTTCGTATCCCCGAGAGCTTCGTCATATTTATTTATGCGCGAACGTTTTAAGCCCGTAACTTATTCTCTTTCTCTAAAGCATTTTTGTTTACTCGCTTTTTATCCGATTCATTGATGATTGTGATTATTGCACTTCTCGGATCTCCGATATTGATTATTAACGCTTTTTTTTTTATTTATCTTCGTATCTTTATGTTTTAATGTATGGAAAATCCAACGCAAATAGGCGCGCTCGGTCTCGTTCGTTGGCATTCAAACGAGTCTCTGAAATGCCTGCCAATGACTCACGGACAGAAAACAGAACCGTCATTCTCGACGATGTACTTGAATTAAATTTCATGAATCGTTTCACGATCGTATCGTTGGAATTTTAACCAGATGTAGTAGCAGCAGATTGTTATTCATTATCGCTTTTATATAAATAAGATTTATATTACGTGAGAATAGATGGAATAAAAAGAATCGATTTGTAAAGTTTATAAATTTATATTTATATATAGTACACAAACTTATTGTCCTAGAACTTATGACCATGGAAATTGACCTATTTAAAAATTCATTTTCATACTCCATTCGCACGACGGTCGTTCAAAACTACATCGTCAGTTCATCAAAACAAACAAAAAAAAAAGATCTCGCTCAATTCGTTCAATTTCTAAGGCGCTGTATTTACATCGGATAGTTGATCATGACGTCTTGCCGGGCCAATTCCAGCAACATGGGATCGTCGAAGAATTTGTTGATGGACACGTCCTCGGACAGGCCCTTCCTCCGCCGCGTCTTCAGCATGAACTCGCGCGCGAGATGAGTCGCCGGCTGGGGCTCAAGCGGCCTGATGGTGATGCTCTTGTCCAGTGGGTCGCCCGGCACGATCTGCCAGTGATGGAACACCGACAGGCAGAAGGCCTGGCCCTGGGTGTGCGTGCGCAGATCCGTCTCGAAGCCGAAGCTGTCGATGGCCGGTATGAAGGCCTTGATCGTGTAGAGGGGGCTGCCCGGCACCGGTGCGTCCTGCGTCACGTGGCCGCGGCGCTTCGCCAGCACCGTGTAGACGGCCGACACGCAGTCGGCGGGCGCCTGCACCTCCACGAACAGGTAGGGCTCCATGAGGCGCGGCGTCGCCATGAGGAAGGCCGAGTAGGCCACCCGACGCGCCGTGGGAATTATTTGACCACCTGTAAAAATTAACGTACGTTCGAGTTATGAAATATTATCCAACGCGCTAGAATGCGGTGTCTCTCTATCGAGCCTATAACATCTTCGAGAAATAACGACGAAACTTTTTTAATTATCACGGGGTGAACTTTTCTCATGCACGCGAACCAAGTTTCAAGATCGAAGGACATTTTCCTTTGAAAATAGTTTCAAACTTTTTTTTTCTCTGTATTATTCAAATTAAATATAAAATAAAAGTTTACGATCCTTTACCTGTATTGCACGCGGAAAACATCGTTCGCGAGAGAGAGATAAATTTCCTCGTACGTATAGCGGTAAAGAAAGAAGAAAAAAAGTTGCATACCTCCGCGATGAAGGGGCTCCTGCGCAATAACGGCGTCGAGAATTTTGAATTTCACATTCCTTATGGGCTCCTCGCACAAAGGTCCCTCGCGCGTGCCCCACTGGAAGCCTTGAACTATGGCCTCGCGCGCGCTATTCAGCAGTGATTTATCGACCTCGGACGGCAGCGTGTCGTCCACCAGGATATTCGGTCCGGTCGCGTCCGAGCCGAATGCCCATATGCTGCGCGCGGCCAAGAGATCCCAGTCGTACTTTTGCTGGAAAAACTCTCCCAGTTTTTTCCTAAAATAAAGATTTGAATAAATTGAAATTAAAAAAAAATGGCGATGATAAGTTGTACGAAAAATGTGCAAATTCTTACTTGTTCCATGTGATTTTAACTTGCTCGGCTTCGATGTCTTCCGCCAACCCTCTCTCCAATGGTTCGGCAATCATGGTCAACTTGTTCTTTTTGTTGGGTGTTTCGGCGAAACACTTCAACGAGCTCGTCTCAACGACGGTCTCGGCGAACGACACCACCGGATCGGCGACTTTGATGTCGATCTCCGAGTACATTCTCCTCAAATCGTGCATGGCGCAATCCAAGTATAACTCTCCGGTACCCAGAACCACGTGCTCTCCGCTCTCCTCGACCCTGGTGCCCAGCAGAGGATAGCTCTTGTTGACCTTTCTCAGTCCGTCCAACATTTTTGGCAATTCCGACGGGTTGACGGGCTCCACGGCGATCTTGATGATGCTCTGAGTATTGAACTTCAACGGCCTGAAGATGTACAGGTCGTCGGCGTCCGTGAGATCCGTTATGGTGCTCGTTTTCACGATCGAGCGGTCGATGCCCTCGATGAGTACCCAATTACCGGCTGGCACCATGCTCAGCTCGATGTTGTAGCGAGCCTCGCTCACCCACAAACGGCCCGCGGTGAGCACGCGAGAGTCCTCCTCGTCTTGACGAGTGTAGGCTTCTCCGAGAACTCGGACGCGTTCACCCGCGTTCAAAGTACCCGACATCACACGGCCTAACACTACGAAGAGAGTACAATCGTCGGTTGGATACATCTTGGTGCTGTGAATCATTAGTCTACCCTGTAATGATAATATAATTATCATCATAATTGCCATAAGATTGAGAAAAAAAATTCAAGAGGAAATAAAAAAACTTACCTCAGGATTACAGTCGATCATATCTTGAGCCAAAGGCGAGTCTGTAGGTCCAGTGTAAATGTGAGATATTTTGTTCATTGCATTGGCTTTTGGATTAGGTATGTGAGTTACACACATGTCAACTAACCCAGACATGTCACCTAAAAATTTTGTACAAACAAGTCTAAGCAGAGGTCGAATGTTCATCTTCATTTCCTCTGAAGTCAAACGTATTCCAGTCTCTTCGAGCACTGTAATATGATAAGATTACATAAACATGAAAATAATACACTATTATGGAAAATAAGTAACAATGTAAAAAAATTATAGTTTACCATCAGCCAATGTCGAATCAACATCTCCAACCACTTGGGCAAAAATTTTGTACAAAGGTTCTAAAATGAATTCAATGAAACTTCTTTGCGCTGTGTTGTGGGGTTGTTTCTTCAAAAACTTTCTAGTTTTACTATTAAAGTACACGTCACCCCAAAGTCTTTTTGAAAATTCTTCAATGTTTATTTCTGGATAATCTTTGGCATACAATGCTGCAAATGATTTTAATGTAAAGCACACATTGTATTCTGAGCTAGCAAAACATACATTGCCAAGAGCCGGAGACACAAATTGAACATCTTCAGAATCTGAGAAGCGGGCAATCAGAGCGTTGACTTCTTCTATAATGTGACGTAATTTGTAATATGCATCTAGAGGTGGTAATTTCAATTCTATGATAAGTCTATCAATTTTGTTGATGCAAACTGTAATGGCAAGCTTTTCTTGAATGGCGTGTTTTAGCAATCTTTCAGTGTTCAACATGACACCTTCAGCAGCATCGACTAACAGCACGGCTCCATCAGATAATCTAATGGCAGCAGTGGCTTCATCTGAAAAATTGACATGTCCCGGAGTATCGAAAATATTCATCAAGTAAGACTTTGATTTTACATCGGGTAGAACAAGAGTCACTGGTACTGCTTTTGTGCTTACACCACGCTGCTGCTCAGTGAATAGAGTATCTGTGTACCTAACAATAATAAAGACAATATTACATTATGAAAAATAATTATAAATTCCAAGGTTTGCAAAAGTAATATTAATTTACCTCAATGGTTTTTCATCAGTCACAGAATGCACATGAGGATGAGTTTGACGAATAAGGCAATCCACCAGGGTAGTTTTACCATGATGTAAATGTCCTAATAAAACAACGTTCCTTATCAAATCTGGACAATCCATGAGATCGGCCAAGTAATCGATACTGTAAGTTGTTTCAGGCAGTTCTTGAGCTTTGATTTGAAACTTGGCTTTTCTTGTTGGCGCTATGAGTGGCTTGTCCAGAGGCTGAGCATCCTCCTCTTGCACCAAGGTTTCAACCTACAGTAATATAAGTATAAGTAAGTAAACAACAATTGTCAAATATACCCAAACAACAACTGAGAACACATAGAAACAAGGTAGACACGACTCACCTCGGCACCGTAGACCTCGAGCGCGCTGGGATAGTACTTTTTGTCCTCGTGTAGGACAACAGCCATGGTGTTGGTCTCGGCCACGTCTTTGTCGGCCTCGCGGTCCTCCTCCATCTCCTCGTCGGACCTGTCGCGGTCGTCGACGTCGTCGTCGGCCTGGCCGTAGTCGTTCTCGTCCTCGCTGTCCGAAGCCAGCTCGGGCCCGATGTAGTTGCCAAACTCGTCATAGTAGTCCGGATCCATGATCGATTTTTTATCGTCGTTGCTTTCTTCTTTTTTTTTTGTTGAAAAAAGATCTTGCGAGGTTTTATCGTATCGCACTGGCTCGCGCGCACATAACCTACGTGTCAACACACAAACAACACACACAACACGCCGGGTGATCGGGACGCGAGTAAACTTGAGTTTACTACGGGATCACGTAATATCGAGAAGATACACACACAACCAAGGCGTGGGATCAACAATTATTCGAGTCGACACTCGAGCTATGTCACAATATAATGATAAAAAAATAGTAAAGTCAACCCGCGTGTCGAATCGACACCGTCGATTACTTTGCGTCTAGACAGGTTAAAATTTCGCATTTGCCGGTACACCGAGAGGCCATCGCTCGGCAAGTGGTTCAAACTATACTGTACAGTCGCTTGTCAGTTTATCGAGAGTCGGCTCGCGAGCTGTCTGCAGTACCGTCTTCGCTGTGTTGTTACACGTTTGCGGAGCTGCCATGTTTTTTTTTTTTATCGCGTATTTACGGCCTCGATCGCGAGTCACGCGGCAATGTATTTTTAACTTTCAAAATGATGATGTATCCATGGGGAAATAAAGATCTAACCCGGAGCGAAATATATCTCTCTCGAATGGCCCGTAGTATAGACGATCTCAATCGAATCAGCTACGAACTAAAATTTTCATCAACGCGATGAGAAAATAACGCTCCACATTTTTGGCTATGTAATAACAATTTTAGGACTAATGGTTGAGCCATTTATCATTGATTATATTTTCACTGCCCATGAAAAAAAAAACATTTGCAGATTATCGTTAGTCGCTACGAAATAGTGCTTCGACTTATATAAATATTTTTGCATTCGCACGTGCGGATTTACGGATATAGAGGTACTAGCCATCTAGTGGTGAAGGCCGAAAGTGCAAAACTGATCTAAATTTGATGATTAAAAATGTGAATTTTTAACATATCGCAACAGAAAAATCACTAAACGCAAGCTGATTTTTTGTTATATGTTTGAGGCACTTTAAATGGATATATTTTGATCGTTAAACTCCTACCGATGTTGAGCACATTTTTATCGAGAACTGTTACTTATTAATTAAACATCTTTACTTTCTCGTAAATGACACATTTTTAATGTTTATTTCGCGTCGGTTATCAAAACTCATTCATGTTACATCGAACGCGTAAAGAGCAATTGATAACGAAGTCGAGGAGTTGCGTCCAATTGTTTCGCATTCGATCGACGATTCGATCGCCGTTGTTTCAGCTGTGCGTATTAAACCGTCGTAGTAGATTGATTTAATCCAAAAATCAAAACGATCCAAGCCGTAAATATTTTAATTTTTTTTCGTCGATTATATAAAAACATTCGAGACGCGTGCACATTCAGTACGAGTTCGCAATTTTTCTACCGCATTTTTAGAATAATTCGCGCTCAAACCTATGTTGCCATGTATATAAGAATATACGATAGCGATTAAAAATGAGTCTCGAGTTTTTTTCTTCATCCAAAAACTCGTCGTAGATACTTTGGAGCACGATGGCGGATAATTCCGATGCATCGAATTCTCGCGCCGAATATAATGACCCGCCAAATTGTCCCGCGCAAATCTTATTATATGCATTGTTTCTCTTAAATTATGCAACAAAAGTAAACAATTGACGGCGATGTTATAGTTGAAGATAATTCAAGTTACGATCTTTTTTCCTCGAAATTCGTGCATCGCGTTATACATCGCTTTTTTATTTCATTCCTAATTCTTATTGCTTCTGAAAACAAAATCGATCCCTTGACATTTTTTAATGCGATCGGACATTCGAGTAAGAAATGGCCTCGAGGATCTATAGTCAAGAATCAGTAATCAACTTATTTCTCCACGACAGAGACGATTTAGATTTTGAATTCGCACAACACGGGTAATTCGAAACACATTTTGAGCGCTGGCTGCGATGGTACCGTTACCGGCCGACGCCATCGTAGTTATAATACACATACAGCTCCGTTTTGTGCTGCATGCGAATTCGCACGCGCGGAAAAAGGCAAAACGTGCCGCTGGATCTCATATACCTATATGCGAACCTCGTCGACGCGATTTCGGTGCGCCGCTCGTAGAGCTTCGGGCGCGACGTGTATATAGCTCGTCCGGCCGCCATATTGAAACGAATAAATACACGAGTCCGAGAGAATAAACGTAAGGAATAATCGTTCGAATAGCGAGTCACGCTTCGATTTGGACGAATCACGCGTGTCGTTGGACTGGGCTAGGTCGGTTTTGATCGCTGGACAAGTTGATTAGCCTGCCCAGCGAGATGTTCGAGAGAAAAATTGTAATCGTACGAGATATTTCGTCGCGATACGTGTTAAGAATCTCGAGCTTGCTCGATCAATTATTCCCCTCAAAATACTGCGAAATCAGGCTATGCGAAAAATCTCAGGTACAGAATTCGCACGGCTACTCGCAACGACGATCGAATCCTCTCTTATCTTCTTCTTTGTTTTTAAAATGAAAAAAAAACTGCAACTCTGCGAGCGTGCAGTCGAGCATACCACGGTCGTATAATGCTGCTGCATCGCGACACCGCAGAGCCAAATCGTTCCTACAAGACATTACATTACGTAGCTATGCAGAGGTTTTCAGCCGCTGTATATATAGTGTGCGGATTATATGTCGCAGCGACGCGAGACTCTATGCGAGGATGACGACGACGACGACGACGACGACAGTCAGCGGCGGCAGCAGCTCGATATGCTGTTTACGGCGGCGGCCCGCGCGGTACGGTGCGATCCGCGCGGCGGACATCCTCCCCCCTCTCGACGCCTATTATATGTGGCGGCAGCGGCGGCCGTTTGATACGATACATCGCGTCTCGAGCATTATATAGTATAGAGAGTTTTACCTCGCGAGGCCGAAATGCATCGTAGATTTGGTAAATAATGTAGAGAATTCTGATGGCTGATTATTTACCCTGTCGAGTTGCTGACTCGATTAGTCGAGGTGCTGTTAGTTTTCACGATACTTCGAAATAATCCTATATAAAACTCGAGTAGTTGCTAATGAGAGTTTATCGCATTAATTGAGATTTATCGCTATTGAGTACTACCTATTGCTATTTTTCGTCATAAAATATGTTTATCATGATCTAGTACAACGAATTTTACAAATATATTAACAATTACTATACTTTATCTTAGAAAACACGCATAGTTTGCACCGATAGAATTTACTCCGATAAACGACCTTTGACTGTCTTTCAATCCCACTTATTGGATCAAACTTTACCTCAATGACTCTGTACTATCTTTTCTAACTATCATAACAATTTTTAACAATAAACCTCCTTCGCGCATCGATTCATTAAACTATACACATAAGAATAAACGCAGCTGCGTAATGAGGTGCGCGCCACGAAAGTCGCGTTCAATTTTTTTTTTGTATTCGCTCTACACGCAGTACTATATACTAAAACGAGAATATCGTCATGTGGGCGGTGCCAACGTAGTGGGCGTTCCTCGTTTACGAATCGACGCCACGACGCAGTTGGATCGCGACGAGAAGGGAAGGGGGGGGGAGAGCCGAGTTAAGCGACGCGCGCGCTATATTCTCTCTCGCTGTACTATACACAACGACTGCCGCTGCTGCACCGGCCATCTTGGCGGCACGATGTAATGTTATATGAGTAGCACAGGAGAGAAATCGAGCGATGCCCATGGGAGCTTCGTATATATCGTACGGGGGGCACCGCCCAAAATCTCATTACGGTATATATACGTTCGCGGCCTTGTGTATGGCCTGTTGTGCTTACGGAGAGATATCGGATACTTAACCGCGAGTGCTGCAATTTATATTTTCGACTCTCGCTCGCAATTGCGTCACCGTTGATTCGCGACGCCAGAGAGAGAGAGAGAAACTCGTGCGCTCGATTATACATATACCAATGCTTAAAAAGCGATATCAAGGTCTCGACGCGTGTAAACGTGTATGTGTACTGATTGAACTCGAGTAAAATGATGCAATTGTACGCGTAACGAGACGTGTTTTTTTTTAACGACGAGAGCTCGTGTTGTATCGTGGCTTGACTCTGTTTAATTAAATAAGGAAAACTTGGAGTGATCGTCAAAACGAAATAGCTCGAGCGACTTTATGTATCGTGCGAGATTCCGCCGCTAATCCGACTTTACCCGAGAGATACAATTCTTAATTGAACGATAAGAGAGAAGTCGAGTCGGTGCGTGGGCGTCGACCGCTAGCACGTAAATAACGTATATCGTAGTCTCTCGCGACTACGTCGGTGTAGCTGCAGTTGCAGGCCACATCGCTCTGTTTTTCACGCCAGAGTCTTCAACACCTTTTGGCTTCCATTTCGAGTCGCCTCTCGCCTATACGTAATAATAATCTCGGAGTTGTTGGCTCGCTGCTGCTGCTGCACGGCTATAACGTATAGCGTCCTTGCGCAACCGAGGTGACTCTCCTCGTCTCTCGTTGCTCCGTTCCTTTGCACGGAGTCGAGTACTATATACGCGTACGCGCATGCGCTTCGCCATTTCTCCGTAGTTTTTCAGGCACACACAACAGTCGGTGCAGGCAGGCAACGACGCGCGCGGATCGCGCGAGCGAGGCACCGACTCTCCGTATATACACTACTATATAGCCGCGTCTCTTTTTACGCGAGTATATATATGTATACCACGAGCTGCTCCGGCTGCGGATCGATAATTTTGCGTCGTCCTCTCCTGCAGCTCTACGCTACGCTTAAAGCTACGCTGTGTGTCTATGTGTGTGTCTGCGTGGAGCGGCGCGTCCACCAACCCTGAGCAGCGACGACGCCTATTATTGTATATCGTCGTGCATCGCGCGTAATTTTCCCGCGCGCGTTCATCGATCGCGGCGTGTCGATATATATATATTTATGACGCGCGGGATCGGAAGAGTGCAGCAGCTATTCGAAATGATTAATGGAGTGAGCTGCTTACATTCAAGATCGAGATCTATATGTCGTTTGCGAATCAATTTTTTTCTCGACTTATATACGATTCATAAGCATGAGCCGGAATTTAATGAAAATATAATTAAAAGGCAAACTTCTTATAATACTCACTCACTCGCTCGTTTAGGGGAACTACGATTTAGTACCTGCGCCCCCAAGCGGTGAACTTTCGAAACTTCAGGTGTACGTCGATTCACTGCATCTATGTATAATAAAATGAACGGGGAAAGGTACAGATGAAAAGTCAAAGTCTTTGCATTATTTTTTTTTTTTTATAATTTTTTTTATTTTAATAATCATATGATTCATATGAATAATGGTAATAATTATAATAATAATTCCAATGGTGGTGGGTGTTCTCCTTTTTGAGTGTATTAATGTGTGTGTATGTGTGTGTTTTAATGTGTCTCTGTCTCGCTTTCAGCGCAAGGTACGCAGTAGATAATAAACAAAATTAATCCATGATCAGCAATTGATTACATTATTACGTAAAACGATACAAGGATGAAAACAAGTATGAGAAAATTGAAAAAATCCGATACAGCGTGACTGACGACGAACCAAAAGGATAAAGAAAAGAAGGAAACCTCTTAATATTTATTAATTATCTATGCGTCAAACGCACGTACAGATCATCGTCGTCGATACATATAGTCGTGACAAATTTTTTTTTCCACGCCAGATTCAACGTATTTATTATATTATAATCGTTCATTCACACACTCGAAGCCAATCATCAACTTTAACTTTCGTTACACGAAAAAACGCCAAACAATTTTCGATCATTATTATTATACGTTCTCGTGCGGGCCGCGAGTAGAGTCGGCACGAAAACTCATCGTAATATCAATAAAACTAACATGAACAAGGAACGAATTTGATTTGCGTATTCTCACAAGTGTCTCGACCCCGTGCGTTTATTTTTTTATCTTCTATCTTTTTTAATTATCGGTCATATACAAATTGGATTTTCCTCGTTTGTATTTTGCTTTTATTTACTCAGAAATCAATTATGTATTACCGATGAGTATAGAAAATAAGTCAATTATTTCATACAATATATAATATTAAAAAGTCTGTTGGTTCGTAAAATTCTCTCGATCGATTTTTCTCTTCATTTTTTTTTATTTATTAAAGTTTGTTTGTTTATTTTTATTTTTTTTGATTCTGTAAAAGATTGCCTTAGTCTACCATATCGTATAGGTGTTTGTTGGTTAATTATAAGATATATCGTGTATTTTTCAGTCTATTGTACAAACGATCAGCTTTTAAAAATCAAGCAATGCTTCTATTATTACACACACCCCTTCGTGTATCGTAGTGAAACTCTTTTTTTCCATTTTATCTTTTTTCCCCCTAAATTAACGTTCGTCCGCGACGAAATTCCAACTACCGATAATAAAAGTAAATAAAATTTGTTTTCACATTTTAACAAAATAATAATTCATAAAATCAGTTGTTTTCTTTTTAAAATATAAAATATAGTCTACGTAAAGTACCGCATAAATATATATTTTTATATAATATATATGGATATTCCGGTGTATAATACAATCGTAATTATATAAATAACTCCTGGGCGTAAGAGGTATATCGTACTGTATACGCTCGTAAATAAAATAATATTAAAATAATGATAATTCGCACAGCTACGCGTTGCAGAGACTTTGGTAAATTTTTTCTCAAAACTACGATTACGCAGAAAGAAAATCATTCCGCGCGACGTAAAAGTGCATAACATAACGTTAACGATAAAAGTAAAGTCAAGCAAATATGGTGTTGCCGCGCCACGAGCGTCAGCTATATAGTTGGAATCTACTTTTCTGCTCGAGGAATTCACGCGATGAAAGTAAAGAAGGATTTTCATCGGTTTCGTCGCGAAGCTTCTCTACGACGAAAAACATAACGTATCATCGATCTATATGTATAATACCGATCTCGAACCATTGCACACTTTCTTTCTTCTTCTTCTTCTCGTATCTAATATAAGTATAGTTAAGCTTCCCGTTCTCGATTAATTAACAGAGAATTGCACTAAGAATTGCACGTTGATAACTTTGTTATTTTTTTATTTTCTTTGGCCATCCCCTAAGGGAGATATTGAAAAATTATCAAAAAAGAAAACCCATATCCGTTCGTAGACGTGTGTTCCGCGAACGTTTTCGTGCCGGTATACACGCGTACACACGTACATACGCGCGCGACGCTTCGAACTCTAATTATAACTCGAGTGCTAATCTTTTTCGACTGCACTATGCGCACACAGCACGACGGACGCTCTCATCTTTTCGCGCGTACGCGTTAACGCGTGTGTGTATATATATTTACGGATGTGTGTGTGTGCTGGTCAATATTACGTGTAGAAAGACATGGAGTTAGAACGACAAAAGCGCGTATACGATTGCCGTTATACATCGTTGCAGCAACAAAAAAAAAAGAAAAAAAAAAGGATCGAAACTTTTTGTCTAAGAGCTACATTTAGTTTTCAGTGCTGGAGGGCTATATTATCATAGGTGTGCTTTTTATTTACTCATTTCATCCGTAATTACGCTAAAACATCGTGTGCACGTCTCCTTTTTGCCTATATATATACGGGGTGCTTGCGACTTGGCCATTCGAATTTTTTGCGCCTTTTTCTTCTCTCTCTCTCTCTCATTTTTATAAAAAAAATTCTAAGGAACTTGACCATGATCGCGCGAGTGCAGCACTCTCGACACAAGGAAAAAAAAAGTTATACACAAGGATGCGCACAAGATGCTGCTCTCTCAGAATGTCTCGAAGACCGCGTGTCTGTGTGTGTGTGGCTTCCATTACGCACTTTTGCTATGTATACGAGATATTTAATATAATAAGACTAAGAATAAGAGAATATTCGCTAGTTACGCACACACACACTCGCACACGCGTTGAAATTATTCTTTTTTTTTCGAAGCACGCACATAATCGTTTTAAACTATAAATATATTGTGGGCTACGTTAAATATTTCGTTATATAATACTCTTTTCTTTTTTTACAGTTCCGTTTTAGAAGCAAAAAAACGAAAAAAAAAACCAAGAAAATTCATTCCTGCGGTTCAACGATTCATCGTATTGTATCACAATTTATTTACCTTTTTTGCGTTTTCCTCATTTTTTTTGTAATGCATTTGCCACCGCCCGAAACTACGACCTAGTCTTTCAGTGTCTATATAATATAAGTTATACAACCGATATCCTTTCTCACGCGCGCGTGCCCTCCGATAAATGACTCGAATAACAAATGAATAATTAATAATAATAAAAATTATCAAGCTAAATCCTACGTATTGCACATTCAAAAAGTATTTTCAACTATTTATATGATGGGGGGGGGGGGNGGGGGGGGGGGGACCTTAAAAATTCTGGAAAAAATACCCGCGAGAGAAAGCTAATTTTCTCACGCTCGCTCGCTCGCTTTTTTTTGCGATAATTAAAAATTATACATTACACATTTATTATTTTCCCTATAGACCGCCCCGTGTGCCGCCACCGCCGCGTTTACCGCCGTTGCCGTCTCTTCTCTCTCTCCGCGCGCGATCGTTAAAAGATCGTAAATACTTTAGTAACGTAATAACGATAATCGACTCGAGGAAGGAGAGACGAGAGGAGGAGATCGGCGACGACCATAACCGAGGCGGCCGCCGCGAGCCGCCGTCAGAGCGTCGACGAAGCCGTCGCCACCCTACTACTACTACCACCACTACTCATGCGCTTATCGAGGAATTTGACGAAAGCGTCGTGATAATCCGTCAGACCTGACGCTGCCTTCTTGTTCTCTTATGGCGGCTGATGGGCCAGCCCGAAGAAGCCGGCGCGCTGATTGCGATACTGCGAGGCCACCACTGCCTGGGGATTCGGTATGTGGCGCACGCCCATCGACGGCTTCATCTTCATGCTGAAGCTGGCGAGTCGCTGCTGAGGCTGAGGTATCCTCAGATCGACTCGATTGTGCAGATTCGACGTTGGTTGTTGCTGTTGCGAAACCGGCCCGTTGCCTATGGGACTGCTCATGTACGTGGGTGGTAGTTTTGACAATGGTGGCGGTGGTGACGTCTGTTGCTGCGAGGTGACGACGCCCATCAGCGATGCGGCCGCGTTCGACAGGGTCTGCAGATTGGCCTCCTGGTTCTTCTTGTCCTCTCGGCTCTTATTGTCCAAGGTGATTTGCTGCTGCAGCTGTTGCGAAGCCACCGCTTGCGGAGGTGGCGACGGTTTGCTCGGATTGTTGCTGTTTCTCAATATACCCGCGGGTTTCTCCGCGGGCGATCGACTCGCCTTCGACTCCGACAGGTCCAGCACGCTGTTGTCCTTGATCATCGAGCCGCCGCCGCCGCCGAAGTTGGACGTCGGACTGCTCAGATCCAGCGGCGACTCGTTTCTTCCACCGATGAAGGACGACGCCGGCGCGAAGGTGACGTTGGCCCTCTTGGCGTTGCGCAGCGGCGTCAGGGGCGGTGGCTCTTTTCGCTTCGTCGTCGTCTGTGTCTGCGTCGGCGTCGTCGTTCGGAATTGCGGCGACGACGACGACGATTTGGAAACCGACGACGACATGCACTTCTCGGCGTCTCTCATCTGCTTCTCGGCCAATAAACTGCGCACTCGATTGGCCTTGCCGAAGCGATACTTCTTCTCGAGTTTCTCGCGCGCGGCCGCGTCGTGCGCGGACTCGTCGGACTTTCTCTTCTGCTGCGGCTCCTGCGCCGAGTCGTGCTTGTTGCGATTGGCCTCGGCGATCGCGACCAGTCCCAGTTTGCGCAGCACCTCCTCGTTTTTCGGCGTCTCTTCTCGCTGCTGCTGCTGCTGATGATGCTGTTGTTGCTGTTGTAGTTGCTGCTGATGCTGTTGCTGTTGCTCAACCGCCGCCGCTATTCTCTCCTCTTTCCTCTTGATCTTGATCAGCTCGACTTTTTCCTTGTTGGCGGGGTCGCCCAGCTTCATGGATATCTTCAACGGCTTCTCTTCGCTGCTGCTACTACTCCTCTTCATCTCTTCCATCTTGGCAGCCACAGCCGCCGCCGCCGCAGCCGATTTTTTCTCCTCCAGCATGGCGTTGTGCACCTCGTCGATCTTCGGTATGTGAATCTTCAGACTGGGCTCCTTCGTCTTCTCCTTTCTCACGGCTCGCATCTGTATCAGCTTCTCCTTGGACTGAGTCGCTACGCTGCTGGTACTGCTGCTACTACTGCTACTGACGGTATTGGAGGTGATCCTCGGTGGACAGGGCGTCAGTCGGACCTTGAGCTTGAGCAGATCCTCGCGCGGCGTCGTCGTGATCTCGGCGATGACCCGCTTGTTTTTTCGCTTCTTGCGCTTGTGCTGATGCTCGAGTTTCGCGAGTTTGTTGGCTTTACGCTGCCTGTCTGGATTGATGTTGTTATTGTTGTTGTTGTTGTTGTTGTTGGCGCTGGTGACGTAATCGGGCGATCGCATGACGGGCGTCACCTCGCAGCGGGGCTTGCGCGTCTCCAGGAGTTCCTTAGTTTGGTTGTGGTGGTGATGGTGATGATGATGATGATCGCTGCCGATCGTCGTCGTCGTCGTCGTCGGTCGACTGGACGACGTCTTGCCCGGCGACAGAGCCGGTTTCGGACTAGGGGGTGGAGTCGGTGGTCTTTGGATGTTTTCCATCGATTGGTGCTGCTGCTGCTGGTGATGGTGATGATGATTGCTCGCCGTCGAGTCGTTGTGGACACTGTTGCTGCTTTGAATTTTGCTGTTGACTAAGGTCGAGTCTTCGACGCTGTTGATTCGGTAGAGAAGCTTCATAGGTGCTTGCTGCGAACAGAAGAAGAAAACCAATCGAGGTTTTTTTTATCATCATGATTTTGAATCACAAATTTGTACGAATGCCAAATTTGTATATTCTAAAATTATTGTTTTGCTTCTTTTCTTTCAAAGCATCTTTACTATTGGAATTTCATCTCGGCACGCATAAACACAAATTCAATTTCCCTAATTTACAATTCATTAGAGTATCAAATAACTGACAATTTGTATATAATGACATTTCAACAATTTTAAGAATGATGACTTACAAGGAGACCCCATGGGACGCAGGTCAGAACATTTCTTTGCAATAAAAGTGATAGAACCAATTATATAGAGAAACGAATTATTTTTATCACTTGCGGGTTCGAAATACGCCATCTAGGTAAAGGATCGTAACTTCAATCATTCAATGCTTTATGAAATCCAATTAATATTTATTTAATTTTGCATTACTTTAATAGTTGAAAATTTAATATCCAGAACTATAGAGCAATTATCTAATCTCATAGATGAGTTTGAAATGAATTTCGCCTATTTTTACTAAATATTTCTAAGCTTACATTGACTTTTAGGGATTCCGATAAGCATATAGACGTCGGTGTAAAATGATCGACGATCTCATCAACCATGCAAATTATAATATAAAACAGTCACGGTCGTTGGGTGGGCGACAAATAAACAATAATGTAAAAAACATCCAAACTCACCCTTTTCCAATCGAATATGCAGGCGAGATCGAGCAGCGTCCAGGCCGGATCCAGCACCTCTAATTCAGTCTTTTTCCCGCTACCGCCGCTGGCCTTGACCTCGTACATGATGTCGATGCGTCGCCTTGTGGGGTCCTGCGCCTGATGGTCCCAGCCGCGCTTGAGCATGAGCAGCCTCACCAGATGCTTGACGCTCACCCCCGCGGGACACTTGAGATATCTGGTGGGGGCGGGACCATCGTCGTCGTCGTCGTCGTTGATGCCGATCGCCGCAGCACCACCACCGCCGGGTTTCCACTCACTCAGACTGAGACTGACCAGGTCGTCGAAGGTGAGCTCGGGCGCGCCCACCGGCTGCCGAGTGAGATTCGTGCACTGCGGATTGACCTGGCGAAAGTGTCGGCGACGCTCGATCTCGGACTTGTAGAGGCCGGGCACGACGAGATAGACGAGGCGCTGCAGGGCCACGTCGTGCACGAGAGGATCCTGACTAGCGCTGGCGCAGCAGACGGGACAGTTCTTGGGGCCGGCCTGCAGTCGTCGCACTATGCAGCCCCGGCAAACTGTGGAACGACGAGAGAGAGCGAAGAGAGGTCGGGACGTGATTATACGATTTCCAATTGCGTATACGTGTTTTTACGAAGGCGATGTCGAATAGATACTCACAAGAATGAAGACACTCGACGAGGGTCGTGGCGTCGATGAGGTATCCCCGACAGAGCGAGCAGACGATGTGCTCGTTCAGCTCCTTGACGCTCGGTTTCGGCCGCCTCGGCATTTTTGTCGCGACCCTCTTCTCCTTGGACGACACTTTGGCGCCGCTCTGATTGTTGTTCATCCTATACTTCTGTGCGCCTGTAAACCCAACGATCGATCGTCGTACGTTTATTATCGTTCTTTTTTTCATCTATATTTTCATAAACTTAAATTTCTCTGGTTCAAAAAAGCATCGTTATATAGGTACCACTTGAAATTTTCCAGTTAGCATATACGAGCGTATGTGGTTTTTTTTTTGTCGTTGATGGCGTAACGCGGTGGTAATCAAGCGTGGCGCCGAAACATAAAAGGCGTAATATTCGCTGCACGATGTATATAGGAAGAGGGGGGGTTTTAAGTGGTCGCGCGAGCAGCAGCAGCATGTGTACGGGGGGGCACTTTAAAAATAGTTTTACGCGAGTCATCTTCGATTAAATTAAAGACTCTCGCGCATGCGAAGATAAATAGGCTCTCTCGGTCGAAAAAAAAATATAACGAGAGCTGGAACAAAAAAGTTCAAGCAGATAATATCGATATTATATTGTATACAAAGCCAGACACGAGAATGTTCACGCGTATAGAGCGTTTTCGGCGATCTCTGTATACCAAATTTTCGTTTCCTTCTGTTCAAATAACCGTATACACGAATGCCTGCGATCGTTTCGCGGTTATTTAGCTCTTTGAATGAAATATGTATTTCGGAAAACGTGCAGAGCGGATCCCTTTTTTCTCCTACCAAAGTTCGATGTTCTCTCGTATACGTACACAAAAATCGTAAATATCGATTACCATTAAGGAATATTTTCCTACGAGTTTTGCGAGATTGGAAATCATAAAACGACACGTACTCGAACCTAATCATTTACGCATGCTTCGGTATTTCCTTAATCGGTACAGGTCAATCCGCACGAATGCGAAAAATGCCTAACCGGAACATATACAACAAGCAGACACAGAGAGCCGGAGAATGTTTTTTTTTTCTGCCCCATGAAAAGATCCCGAAGTTTGGGCTAAATATAGAGGCTGCGAGAAATGAGTGGCCGGCTCGCCGACAATACCCACACGCACACGCACACATGAACGCACGTACGTATAATCATACCGTATAATCAGGGTGCAAAGAGCCCGATATTATTACTGCTATATATACGCGGAGAAGAAGATAACCGGCGTGAGAGAGAGAGAGAGAGAGAGAAAGACTGTGAATTTTGCATCGGCATGTGGATTGTTTTCGCGGGCAAGTAAGCGTATCTCCGTCGTCGTCATCGTATGTAGTCGCGTACGCGTGACAAATAAAGTTTAAAGTAAAACGTATATAACAATAAGGCTGCCGAACGCTGAGAGCTAGTCAAAAAAAAAAAACTTTAATAAAGCCCCCGTCGCTCTTTATACGAAGTTATTCTCAAAAATCATTTGGCATGCGCCTGGCCGCCCCCCCAGGGGAGAGTCTACATCTCGGCGTAAAGGAACGTACGTATATACGCACTATCGGCGCTTATATATATATACCGTGTACTGCGTTGCGTATATAATATTATATTATATATACGCAGGGGGCCCTGCTGCTGCTGCTGCTGATGCTGCTTTTGCTGCGTTGGGGGAGGGGGCAGAGAGATGATTCGAATCCCCACATGTGTGGGTTATGCACGCGCCGGCGAATATCGTGTGTATGTGTGTGTGTATGTATATTAAACATATTATACATCGGAGCCGAGAGATAGAGAGAGAAAATGAAAGAGGCAGTGTGTTGGATATAATATCGAGCGATGCCGCCCACACACACACACACACACACACTTGCGTATGTACATGCATAAGAGCTCATGCAGTGCGTATGGACGAGGAGAGAGAGAGCAAAATTTCGAAGCTCGTCGTTACGTCGTCGATGATATTATATATAATAACACACGATATCGCGCGCAGAGATTGCGCGTGGTAGGTGAAGACGCGTGCCTCGTGCCTGTATTGTATATCTGCGTGTGTATATGTCAAATGCCGGCACTACAACAGCTGCTGCTGCTCCGTATAACGCAGTCGATCTTCGCGACTTTATGGAATATTATTTTTTTACATACATATGTACAAGTGCACACCACCGCATGCGCGCGCGCGTTCAAAGATTATCAGCTCGTATAACGTTCGAAGTTTCTCGCTTTTTACTGCTGCTGCTGCTGCTGCTTATCGCGAGCAAAAAAAAAAAAGAAGAAAAAAAAAGTTAAAACAGAGAAAGAGAGAGAGAGAGAAAAAATTTCCGCGCGTGCTGGGACTCGACAACGACTGGTTAAAGCGCGTATTGTAAGTTACGTGCGTTATCGCGTCGATAAACGCGCCGCCGCGCGAGTCGTGCAGATCCTTTTTGCCGCGCGCGCGCACGACTATATTAACTGTTGCTCCGACTCGTAAAGAAGAAAAGAAAAAAAAAACAACTAAAATGCTTTTTCGCTTTTAGTAGAGTATGTATAACGCGCTGCTCGTGTAGATGAAGAATTGGGATTTTTCGCGCACTTTTGCGCGAGCCGCAAACACACACGCGCGTACTTAAATACGGCATATGATATATAGACGTACATAAAACTTGTTGAGCATCGGTAAGAGAGAGAAAGAGCCGAACTCTCGTACTTATGTACAGCAAAACGCGTGGTCTATTTCCTATATACTACTGCTGCTGCACATCACAACGTATGTGCAGTGTCTGTACAGTGGTATATAGAGACAGACGTTAACGGAATCAACGGGAATAAAAATTCCAGGCGCTAAATCACATCGCCGCAGCGCTGATGATTATATACGCTGACGGCGCCGAATCTAAATCTAAATATATAATATAATATCGTGTGTAAAAAGATGAAACGAAGCAATATATGTATACGAATGGGTAGCGAGGAGAGTCGAGTGACATTAAAAAATAAAATAAAAAAAAAAAAGCAGCATAACGAAGTCGAAAGGAAGTAATAATAATACCCGCCGTGTACAGTGGTGTATACAGTATCTAATTGCGGATGTCACCGCGGAAAAATGTACACCTCTCCCGTGTGCCACAGCACTGTACGTCACATAAACGCGTTTATAATATACAGAAGCAGAAGTAGAGACAGACAGAGAGAGCGAAGGAAGAAAATTTAAGGCTGTATATATAGACACAATAGGGGCACTGTTATGCTACGAAGTGCACCAAGGGCAGAAGCTGTGTTATATATATATATATATATATACTGCACACGCGATACATATAATAATAACAACAATAATAATAATAATAAGTATGAGAGGCACAAGCGCTGTCAAGCACGGCGTAGTAGTATATGCTGCACCGCACGTAACAACACGGGACATTTAAAAGTCACGTGCGCCGAAGCGAGACGACGACGACGACACGAAGACTCGCCTTCGTATAGATCCTGATTATATGTATCGCACTACGTACGCATTTTTCTGTACGCGCGTGTGCGTGGGCGCATTAGCAAGCGTAAATACGTCGGAGCTGCATGTATATCGGAGCAATTCGTGCTCCTATTTTGTGTATACACCGGCTGGGTATAAAATCAACGACGAATATTAGATTTGACGTTTGCTCTCTGCGCCTCGTGCGTGAGCGTGAATGTCATCATCAGCTGCCCTATTGTGGCCCAGTGAATCTCTCTGTTTGCTATGCAAAACCGGAGCTTTTTAACTATTATGGGGCCGCGGCGGTACAAAATTGACACTTCGCGAGCCGCATACTGAAGGAGAGAGAGAGAGAGAGAGAGAGATTCATTGGATGAAATAATGCGCCGCATGCCACGAGTAGATTATACGTGAAGGAGGAGGCACAAACAGGCAAGTGTCGCTCACATTACTCATTAAAGGGAATGTAACGTGTGTGGGCCTGTCGACGGGTATAATTGCTCCGACTCTGCGCCTCTCGGTTTCTGTACAATATACTCACATTGGCAATTGATACACTTGATACATATAGTATAATACAGATATTATGTATATATGGATGCGCCGACGCCGACACGAATATACAGTCGTATACAATGCCAACACACGGTTGAGTCTGACGTCCGAGAGACACCAACACAGGCCAGCCACTGCCTCGCGATGCACATACACAGTCTGCAGCAGCAGCAGCAGCAGCAGTACACAAAGTAGTGCTATATCTATATATCGCGTTTTATATATACGCTATATATATGCGGGTCTCTGCTGCCGCTGCCGCCGCTGCTGATATACCCAAAGCAGAAACTCGGAATTGTCAGAGAGAGAGAGAGAGAGAGACTCTCTTAATATACGGAGCGCAGCAGCGGATCCGGCAACGTCGCCTTATAGCCTATATACATGCAATACGTATAGGTGTGTTTATTCCAGCCACCACTGGCAGGCAGTCAGTGACGTGCGACGTGGCAACGCTGCGCAGAAGCACAGCACACGAACACAAACACACTCACGCGTGTATGAAGAGCAGTAGCAGCACCAACCGAGGCAGCACTGGCAGCAGCAGCAGCGCTACTGCTTGTGTGTTCACTCCACTTTGCTGCTGCTCTGTCAGTGTGTGTGTGTTTATATACGTGTATACGTATATCACGACATTCAGACTTTAAAGAGAGAGAGAGAGAGTCTCGACTCTGTGTGTGTATGTATGCGTGTACGTACGTAAGTACGTATTACTGTATAGGTATATGTGTGTGTGTGTGTGTATACGTAAAGGCCAGCAGCATCCCAGACATTTTCTTCCTCCCCACGGACTTTTTCTCCCATCAACAACAACAACAACAACATAAGCAACAACAACAACAACAACACTCGAATGTCTTTTCTATTATTATTAAACATTATATACTACTCACGTTGCAGATATATAGCCGCGTTGATAAGAGACTACTGCTGCTGCTGCTGCTGGCAGCACTCGCAGCACACAGCACACACACCAACAACACACACAAGCACCGCAGACAGTGCACTGATAGTGGACGGCTGCCGTCGTCGTCCAACGCGACACACTATAACACTTGACTGTATATATATATATAGCTATATATATATTGTATATACTATATTACGAAAGCGCGGAACAGCTGCGGGCCGCACCGTCTTGTATATATAATAGTAATGTATAACTGAGCTTGCGAGACGACGACGACGGAGGAGGATCGTCGACTCGTCGCGCGGCTGCTGCTGCTACTGCTGCTTGACTGTCGGCCGTGGCGGTGGTGGCCGACTACGACGACGACGACGACGACGGCAACGACGTCGACGACGAGACGGAACTCCTATACCGAGGAGAGAGAGAGAGAGAGAAAAGTCGCGCTCGCGGCGGCGTGTGCTTGTATATATCGTATATATATGTTGCGTGTGCGGCGGCGACGGCGCTCCTCGAGTATAGTCCTCTGCTCCGCTGCACACAGCGGGCGCACGGAAACACAACACGCGCGCCAGAGAGAGAGAGAACTCGCGGTGTGCGCGACGACGATGCGGCGGCCGCGGCAAAGTGACTTATACTACTACTGTACTATCTCTCGTGTACTGTAGACCGTCGTGCAGCAGCAGTCAGCAGAAAATTGCACCGCCGCAAAACACACGCCGTTCGTTCGTTGCCTCGCGCGCGCACACACCTACACACAGCAGCGTTGTACCCACCAGCCGCCACCACCACCACCGCCGCCACTAAATCCGTATACGCAGCAGAAGCAGCGCACCTCTCTGTATATAGCCATGGGTAGAGTGAGAGAGAGAGAGCACTTGATATTCTCTGCTGCTGCTGCTTGTGTTATGCGAACACTAGAAAGAGAGAGAAGAGAGAGACACGGGTGCAACAGCTATGCTATATGCGCGAGATATGCGCACCGCACCGCGCGGACGACGAGGAGAGATATCGACCCCGCCTAATAGGCTCCGCCCGCTAAAGTCACGGAGACGGCCGAGTCGAGCCGATCTCTAATATTACTGTTCCCGCACACGTAACGAACTGCAGCGTATATAGAGAGCCACTGTTTTATGTTATACATCCTCCTCGACTCCGAAACGCGATTCCGAACGTTTTGAAGGCTTGAAAATTCAAGTTATAACGTTGTGGAATTCCTGAGATTATGTTAACGAGCGAAACGTTAGTATTGCATTTCTCGTGGTGGGATTTTGTACATAAGGCAAGAACTTATGAGTAATGCACAATAACAACTACTCGATGAATACGTTTCTTTGATTAATCATAATTACGTTGAAAGTCATGGACGGGCGACCAAAGATCGAAACAGGAGCACTGATCTTTACAGCGAATTCATCTATTGCAAGATTTCGAGGATCTGCGTTTTAATGAGAACTAATTCAATTACGTACAAATTTCCAGCGTTTCGCAACTCGCCAAACAATCGTGACGGATCGGCATTCTCCGATATGCACTTTATCTCTCTTTCGGAGCATATTAAACATAGAAAAAGAGAAAGGATATAGAGGCACAAAACCTCTGATTCTGCGATCGAAATGACGTTGCGCGCTTTTCGATCTTTATATATACATTCAAAATTCCGTTCCCGAAGTACCACTACATTACGTAAGATCTCAGCCACCATTAACACGCACAACAACTCTATACAATGCGTGACAATATTATGGTCTAGTAAACATATTACACGCGATCGAGCTCGACATTCATCGTCGTCGTAAAATTAAATTGAATAGTGTATTATGAAACAAGGCTAAGGAAAACATACGTAACTTCCGATTTGGTTTTCTGAAAGTTTGTAAAGCTCGCAAGTCTGCTTATATTATGTATATAAGCCAGTTAATCGTAGGATTAAGCTGCGAAACGAAGTTTTAAGTTTACTTGACGTTATCGCGCGTATAAGCCCTTGATCGACGCACGAATCGTGGTATAGATTAGGGAACGAACAAGATAGTTGATGAATTATTTTACATTATTACTTTGGTAAAGTAATTTCCATCGAGAATACATACTTTTTCTTCGTGAAAATAATGCGTTTGTCCGAGCAACTCTTTAAAAAAGCTGTTCTTTTTTTTAGAGGAGTACGAAAAACCCGGCTATTTTTGTGAATGTTACGCGCGTACGGCAAAGTGGAAATTACGCCTTGGAATGTCAGAAACAAGCCAGGTGTCGTGAACGTGGGTTTTTTTGGGACATTGGCGACGCGTAAAATTTGCTTTTTTTTCGAACTTATATTCGGCAAGTTTTTACCAAGAAAATAAAATTGTTTGTAAGCTGAGAATTCAACTTGGAGCTGTGATGAAAATCACTATCCACGTACAAAATACAACTGATTCAATTCGAGTGCACCCATTATACTTCGAATTACATTTATCAAATTTAAATTATAGTGATGATGTTACTTTTTATAAAATATTTAACGAACAAATAACTCTCTCGATCTCGAATTCATTCAAAATATCCGATGAATCGCATTAGTCCTCAGTCGCCGGCATCATATTACAAGAAACTTCATTTTGTACAAGTCATCAATGCTTTTTTTTCAGGTACAATGAAACTTCTATTCGTATCATTAGATCGAAGTATTTCGTTCGGGTCTTCTGCACTCTAAATATTTTTTTCATAACCCTAGTAGATATTCTCGACATTATTCATGGTATAATCGACAAAAAATTATCCTTTAAAATGTTTCAAAGTTAAAAATGAATATTAAATGGATTATATTTGACGATTTTTCTATTACAATTATGTTACGAGTACGGAGCGCATTTCAAATGATCTGAAAACGAAAATTTAGCTGTTCACAAAATGATAGACCTGTGTTCGAGCACTTGGAATACGATGATAGTAATTGAAGACCCTACCACTAGATGGCGACGCGCCTTTATCGGTGAAATCAGCAAGTGGCAAAGTCAAAATAATTCTATAAAGTCAATATTACTAATTACTAAACGGCATTATAATAAGAGTCTGTTTTTAAATTAAGTTAACTACAGCATTGATTAAAAATACAAAATAAATCTGTTTTATCTTTATTCTGTCTGGATGGATCGTCGCTTTTACGAAAAATCAATTACCGATGAAACTCGAAATCGTTATTTTACTACTTCATGAAACATTTTGTAAGGCTCGAAACTGATGTGCCAAAATAAACGCGTGTTTCGTGAATTTGGAAAAAATATCATTTGAGGAGGGAAAGGCACCGTAAAATCGAAAAATTTTGAATGGACTTTTGAGTAGGATTTTTCCTCCCCTTTTCATGAAAAATGTAGCATTTCTACTAGGTAACAGCTAAATCTCAGTGCAAAATCAAAATTTTAGAATTTCGAAAAACGAAATAAAAAGGCAAAGAAAAATTCTACTCAAAAATCCAATAAAAATTTTTCGATTTTAAAGTGCCTCTTCCCCTTTAATCCTTTACCCATCTCGCACATGAATAACATACAATCGCGGCATTTTATTTTTTGCGTCTGTGCGATCAACTTTTTCTATTCCTTTTCGTATAATAAAGTGTGCCATCAGTAGTTTGAAAATCTAAAGAATATTCACGATAGCCAAATTCGACACATTCGCAAACAAACTTTTCAAAAAACGACGGTATATATATTTTTTAATCATTTTATTATTATACGCAAACTTTGAAGGATCGAATTCGTGTGCGTTTTGCACATAAACGTGTCTCAATATGATTGAAATGTTGCTCAATTGTGCTCGTATTCGTATACACGCAAGCTTCTGTGTAATAAAAAAGAGGAGGTTAATATAATCATCTTGACTGGTTAATGATTATTTTATTATTTTTAACTTTTATCTCTGATAGAAATACTTGAATTAGTAATGGCCTAATGAACAAGAAAAAATAACCATTTAAATTATCTAACTATTTATTGACTTGTTTTTACCGATTTTTTCATTGCAATTATGTTCAAAATATTAAGCGTATTTTACATGACCAAAAAACGACAATTTAGTTTTATAAAAAAATTTATATCAGTTTTCAATCACTTTGAATACGATAATACCACTACTACTTCAAGTCTCCACCACTAGATGGCCAGTACCTTCATTTGTAAATCCGCAAGTGGCAAAGTGAAAATGAAGATATAAGTTAGATGGGTCCGTTTTCGCAATATATTTTGCTATATATACTGTGTTTATGCGCAGATCGCGATAAGGTATGCTTATAAGCGTGACCAGCTCTGCACTGTCCTCTGAGTAGCTTATAGAGTTACCCGAAGGCAATACACTGGGCTGCTGGGCAATACACGGAGAGGTCACTCGTGCCTAGTACGACGTAAACAACTGATCAAGACGGATCTGTGCTCTTCGACAATTTTCCTGTGTGGTTAACTCGTTCATCGTGTTGTGAAATTAATTTTTATCGAAATTCTAAGAGATAAAAATGGAATCCAGTGGTTCCTTCAACTGTGCAACGAGGTAATTTTCATTAATGAGAATGAAATTGAAAAAATATTATAATAAATTACTTGATCTGACTGGGGTTATTTCAGAGTGAAAGAGGAACCTTGTGATGTGTCACTCAGTGAAAATGATTCTGGAATGATTGACGAGAAACCCGATCTTAATAACTTCCAACTCTTGTCATTTCCACAAGAAAATTCAGTAAGTGTTTATAATTGTATGCAACTGATATTGAAGTAGTGTTTTTTATAAAATTTTTCACGTATTGCTTTAATTTTTCAACCGATCCGTGGGCTTCCAAAATTTGAAGAAAATCGTAAAAGTGTACTTGAAGAAGTGGAAATAATCGTTGAATGCGAAGACGTCAAGCCGAACAAGAATTTGTTAGTAGTTGAAAAAATTGACGATGATTTCCCAAATCACTCGTGGAAAGTAAAAGGTGGCGATGAAAAAATTCTGGAGTTAATTAAATTGGAACCAACGGAGGAATTGAAACAGGAATATTTTTGCATTACTGCAGAGGAAGCTAATGCAAATTTCGACCGTGAAATTTTCGAACAAAGTAAAAAAAAAAGAATTACAAAAAAGTTTGACAATGAACGCAGACCTGAAAAACAAAATGGTAAAGTGAATAATGATACAAGATACGCATGTGAAATATATAGAAAGAAATTGGCAAATAAGAGCAATCTGAATAGGCATTTGAAATCATTACATTATCGTATTACTCACTCATGTGATACATGCGGAAATAAATACTCAGTGAAAAGTGATCTTAAAAAACACATT